TGCTGCATGTCGCATGACACCGCATGTTACCATTCACTTCAGTTGTGTAGCAAAAGCGTTATTATCTAGTAGCTTTGGCCAGCAAGATCCGAACAATTGCATCCTCCTTGTGATGTGACGATTTCTTCCTCGTAAACTTTGTCATCTTCACTGGAAACAATAACACTCGGATATTGCCCTCAAAGACGAAATGTGTTGGTACAACTCATAAATCGAAATAAATTACTCGTATTACCACTACTACTCAACAATAATTAGGTAAAATTGCAACTTAGTGTGAAGAATCCGGTCTTTAGTTCAAAATTGATAGACGTGATTGACTTAACAAAGGCAGTGGTAACCTAGACTTGTCTGCTGATTCATGTGGACAAAAGTAACTTAGACATTATTCAGTGCCAGAACTTGATCTAAGATGTTCCAGCTACCTGACATTCTCCAAACAAGCAGCCTGCATCAAATCCAAGTCACATGGCCTCCTTTTGCGTGTCATCCCTAATTCTAATAGTGCCCAACTGAAGGTTCTTTTCTACAGAGGCGTACCTCCATCCACTTTTAGAATGGTGCCCGTTTATTTTACGTGGCCCCCGCGCAAGAGGCGAACAAAACACTGAGGCACACTGCTGCTTCACGCTAAGAAAATTAAGAACGGACTCCATTCTAGACCAGGTATCCAGATGTAACATGCTAAGGAAAGAAGTTTTTTCGAAGGAGCAACTTAAACTAAATCTTACACTTTACTGTAAATTACCTCGGAGGCACATGTACCAGGGTAGTTGTAACGTCTGCTTACAATATACTTGATCATAAACCGTCAGCTGCTACCGAGTGTTTTGTACGACCAACCTATGGGGTAGTTTCTTCCTGAATAAATCCTCCCACATCTAAAGCGGGCATCCTAAGAAAATACGTGCCGCAGGTTCATCACTAGTCTATCAATCGCTTGGTCACCATCTGTGCGTCCTAGACTAATAAAGATTCACCATGATCTCCAGATGTGTGAGGCATGGTTATCATCAACCTCAAGAACGTTTTGCCCCAATAGACTTATGAATTTTCGCAGTGTGTGATTAATAATTCACCCCCCTACACTGTACAGTTAGTAAAGCACAATTTTGGAAAACACAAGTGTGCCCAATGTATTCTCGGTTTTCCCTTTATGTTTGCGAATGGTCACCGTGTATCTTGGAACTTGTGCGAGCTTTGCAAAAGAAAACAATTGGAGCCGTTTTTATGTTTATAAATTAAGGTGTGCATGTGGTTCCAGTTAGTCTAAAAGGATAGGAACCCCTCTCTTTCACTGAGTTCCATTCACCAGTTTCTGCTTGCTCTTTCCTCTCTCTTCTCTTTCCAGCACCAACCAGAAGAGAGGATCTTAGGCATGATTTGGTCAAAAACTATCAACTCACTGGAAAAACTACTTGTTTCATTGTAAACTCACACGATCACCAACGATTTTGAAACCACCATAAGGGAGACGCCAGCTAAGATTTCTGGGACATCAAAATAGAAGCGAAGATCCGGATGAGCTTTTCTCGGTGATCACTATTGTGGCTTAAGTATGCGCAACAGCGTTAGCTCCGAATGTATTCTAATGTGCATTGGATGACAAGCAGATATCACCTGTGCTTTCCTGGAACGTCGCAGGCTTTATCATTACAAACATGAGCCAATAAAATACACGACAGCAATGGGTAAACCAAAAGAAAAACACCACAAGATTCTGGAAGGTCTAATTAACTAAGTTGTTCGCTACTCAGTGCATCGAGACAAAATTAGTTTCAATACTACGGTGATATTGGTATATGTGATACTCGTCGAAAAGTGACTAGAATTATGTAGGGTACAAAACAAAGCCGTTAAATTAGGGAAAAAACTTACTAGTAACTCTAAAGGCAGCTTGAACGCGATGATAATGACGGTATATATTTCATACAACGTAAGCAATATGGGAACAAACCAGTTTACAGGTATGATCACTGTAGTAATATGAACTCATCGTTACGTGCAATAACAAGCAGTGCTTTGGACTTAGTTATTTAAGGCATATAAAGGATGGGTTCAAAGAAAGAGCGTTAATATTTTGCGAACAACAAACAACAGATGACCAAACGTCAACCTAATAGTTCTGCAGACCAAATCAAGTTCAGTTAGAAGCCAGGATTTATTCAGCCATTTTTTGAACGATCGAATATTCTTGAAGGTAGGGCGGGTAGTACACCCGTGATCTTCATTCCTGTCCACTACTCGTAAAGTTGTGATGAAATTCTGTACGCTGGCAACTACGATTACTAGGATTCCATATGAACGAAGAGCTGATAACTGAACCTGAAAAATGAATTGCAGAGGGGAGCAGTAGGCCAAACACAAAATAGAAGCACAAAAATACTGCATAGGAGCATATGAATCGTGACATGTATATGCAGGTTGATTGTACTGAACACAAAAGTTACTTGACGACGTATATTAAACCAACTAACTATTTAGATGTTAGCTTATGTGGTCGGAGATGAATCTTCATACGGAAGTGGCAAGGTGAACGCCGAAACTGAAGATATTGCTACCGAACAGAGAGACGTGGGGATTTGAAGCGGGTATTCCCTTGTAAGCAGAAAACTTAGTCATGCAAGTTAGCTGGAGTTATAAGCATTTAAATAAAACTGATGCCTTTTGTCGTAGCGGTAACAAGCACTACATGAGCACGGTCGAGGGACGATCATGGTGTTCCGTTGAGCTTTTCACATCAGAAAGTCAGTCACGTTCTTCATTCATTCAGGATAGTAAGAAGTAGGGGTGATCAGCTACCATTCAATGAGGATCAAACCAGAAATTTTTCGACTGGTGTTGTGAACACCTGAATATGTGTCAAGCAGTAATTCATACCCGAGCAGCTGAGGCCTTTTCCTACTTAGGCCAACAAATCAGTGAGTTTATAAAATACTGCTCTTTTCCTCGGCTCCCGATATGCAAAATATATATCACTGTCCCGGGGATAATTATCATTATTAGAGGGTATATTAGGAAACAGGAGAAAGTTCGGTGGCAGTTTTAGAACATTCGTGCTTTAGGAATGAAAGACTTCGGTAATATCGTTGTCAGATCGTAGGTATTGAGTAATTTCCCTTTTCCTTATTACATGGGTTCGAAGATTATATTAAACCTTCCTGTCATGGATGGGAAGGTGAGTGTTATATTTGCGTAGGTCTGTGCCCTTCTGCAGTGAATTCATTTTAGATCACATAGCTAGTGCAGTACTTCGTGTCCGTTCACTTCAGTAAGCAATACAGAATGAATTCATCTATATTCATTGGTTTCCGGAGGCCAAAACAGGCACATAAGAGTTTAGGAATCGCTCAAACGCGAAATCGTCAGATACAATTAAATGACGATAACTCTCCGCACATTTTGAACACCCACGATTGCAGGATCAGAAAAGAGCACAATAGCAGACCTAAGTAGTAATGCTATCTTTCATGAATCGTTCCCATATGCCAAGAATCCTGAACTAGTTGACTGCTGTATCAAGCGAAAGCAGAGTAGACAAACAGGAAAACATGAATTTTTCGTCACATATCTTTATATCAGCAAGATGTTTCAAAAAATGGGGTCATCAAAAATGCTAAACAACTTTGAATCATAAGCGCCCGAGGTTGTTCTTCTTGTTACACAACATGGCGAATTACACATCGCCTAGCAATACACCTAGAGGTGATTGATCAAGGGTGCCAGAGAACACATCTCGAGAAAAAGCTGATTAATCAAAACCCATAACCATGATCGTACATGGAATACCTGAAATGGTGACCGGTACCCCAGGTGATAAATACACCCATGATGTCCGACAATGGGAGTGGTTATCAGCTCGAATGGAGCTGAGTGGGGTCGCAGCTGGGGCAATTAGCAGACTGCCATGCCCCTGCATCTGACAACCATGACTTCAACTAGACTAATGGCTGTCAACTTCGAATTCCCAGAAGTACTCACCAGAGTGGTAGAGACGTGGTACAAAGTCAAGAGCACCATAAGCAGTAACGTTCGCTGCTGTGAAAGCAGACCGAGAACAATGCGGCAACAGCAGACAGCAGTTACTCCCTGTTCTCAGGCCGCCGTAACCCTAAACTGAAACGTAGAGTCATGCTGGCAACCTCTACCCAACACCGAGTGTACTAATCGACCCGGGAAAAAACTTAACTGGGCCGGCTATACAAGAAAGGCAGGTCCTGTGTCTCCAATCCCCTGACGGCCCATGATAACTTGACAGTATACCAGGGTATCAAGGCCCCGGTCTACGCAATATTTCTGGATTTCACCAAAGCCTTTGACACTGTCTCACACACAATCCTAATACATAAAGTAGCTGGGTTAGGTATACGTAGCCAGGTGCTATCGTGGCTACAGAACTACTTAGGCAATGGGGAGCTCTGCACGAAAATCAACAGGGTCTACTCAACTTGGAGAACATCCTCATCCGGTGTCTCACAAGGAGCAATCCTGGGTCCACTGTTGTTCCTACTGTTCGTGAATGACCTGTCGCTACATATCAGCTCTCCGATTCTCCTATACGCTGATGACGTCAAGTTGTGGAGGATAATAACTTGCGACGCGGAATCGAAAGCATTACAGAACGACCTCAAAACGCTAGAGGAGTGGGGAACTAATAACGAACTGGCATTTAACCTGGGGAAGTGCCGGCCCGTGTTTTTCCGCACTCCTGATCCCCAGAAAGTATTCTACTATCTCTGTGCTTCACGTCTGTGCCATACCACAGTAGAAAAAGACTTGGGTTTAACGGTGACAGGGAAACTGGACACAAGTTCCAATTACCCAGTTGATGCCTCATAAGCATATGGTGTAATACATTTTGTGCTTGTGGCTGGATCTACTGCATAGGAATCTGCGAAACACTTAGAACCGTTCCACAGGACTAAGAAGCGAACAAGAAGAAATCAACTGATTTACACAAGCTCGCTTAACAGATATTGGATATTGGATTGTGCGGAATTGTGAACTGCTTAACCACTCTGTTTTAACTGTTGCGGATGCTTTTCCAATATAAATGCATAGTTGTAACCAAACATTTGCACATTGTTGTAAAATGTCACACAAATAGGATCAAAAGTGTGTATAGATATAATAATGCGAAGGTTAGGAGACAGAATAGGTTACAGTTACTACACTGTAGGTATGCAAAGATTAAGCATGCTATAGCATCAATAATGCAACATCCAATGTATTTTAATGACCTTGTGTAAATCAGTTGATTTCTTCTTGCTCGCTTCCTGGTCTTGTGGAACGGTTCCAAGTCTTTCGCAGATTCCGATGCATTAGATCCAGTCACGCGTCTGCTAAAGCTCTGATTTACAGAACAGGAAGTTAAGTAACGGTTTGTTTGCCTTGGACTGTGGTGCGGTTGGCTCCTTCAGATGTCGAGTTGCCAGACAGTTATTTGGACTGGTCACTAGAGAGGGTTAGGGATAATGAAGGGAAAACCTAGTAAGGTGAATTTGTCTGAGTAAAAGGGGAGAAAAAAAAAGTCAACTAACTGAGTAATCAACTTACACCCAAGTAAGGCGAGGAGGGGTGCGAAGATATGAAGGACTAACTCATGGCAAGTGGAAGGGATGAAATGGGCTTAAATGGCTACAACAGAAAGAAAACTGTTTGTAGAGTTAGAATAGTTGGGGTGGCTTGACATCAGTTGATTTCTTCTGTTTAGTTCATGTTCCAGCTATATGTGGGTAAACTGTGGGTCTTTGCGTGACTGTCTAGCCTCTTCTTGAAACTTTCAACGTGCAGGTTGGAGACTACTTCTGCTGGTAATGCATTCCAGTGCCCAGAGGGAGAAGTGTGAACGCACAAGAGTTTTTGACCTTTGGTGGGCTATCCTCTTAGGGTTTCCACGAGGATCACCATAGTGGCCACTCGGTAGTATTTCTCTGTTCGGGTGACTTAGGTTATTCAGTATTTTGTAAGCCATTATCAAGTAACCTCATACCCTTCGGTAACTAAGAGAGTATAGGCCTAGGTCTTTCAGTCTATCCTCATATGGGTTCGGTTGCATCCCAACAACTTTTGTGGCTTGCTTCTGAACTTTCTCCAGTAGATTCGTTCCTCTTTTCAGTCGTGGTGGAGCGAAGACGTTATGGACCTCTGAGTGGGGTCGTATGTAAGTCTTGTAGAGTTTCAGAAACAGCTCTGGTGTGAGGGCATTCAGTTGTCTATGCACAAAGTGTAGTACACCATATGCTTATGAGGCATCAACTGGGTAATTGGAACTTGTGTCCAGTTTCCCTGTCACCGTTAAACCCAAGTCTTTTTCTACTGTGGTATGGCACAGACGTGAAGCACAGAGATAGTAGAATACTTTCTGGGGATCAGGAGTGCGGAAAAACACGGGCCGGCACTTCCCCAGGTTAAATGCCAGTTCGTTATTAGTTCCCCACTCCTCTAGCGTTTTGAGGTCGTTCTGTAATGCTTTCGATTCCGCGTCGCAAGTTATTATCCTCCACAACTTGACGTCATCAGCGTATAGGAGAATCGGAGAGCTGATATGTAGCGACAGGTCATTCACGAACAGTAGGAACAACAGTGGACCCAGGATTGCTCCTTGTGAGACACCGGATGAGGATGTTCTCCAAGTTGAGTAGACCCTGTTGATTTTCGTGCAGAGCTCCCCATTGCCTAAGTAGTTCTGTAGCCACGATAGCACCTGGCTACGTATACCTAACCCAGCTACTTTATGTATTAGGATTGTGTGTGAGACAGTGTCAAAGGCTTTGGTGAAATCCAGAAATATTGCGTAGACCGGGGCCTTGATACCCTGGTATACTGTCAAGTTATCATGGGCCGTCAGGGGATTGGAGACACAGGACCTACCCTTTCTGAAGCCATGTTGAGCGTCACTGAGTGCTTGTTTTTTGTCCGGATATTCTCTGATTCAGTCGTCTACCACACTTTCCATAACTTTTGATATTACTGGTAGGAGTGCTACGGGTCTATAACAGTTGGGATTCTGCCCGTCTTCTCCTTTGAAGATGGGAGAAGGGATAGACCGTTTCCACTCTCCTGGGAGCTTTTGCTCATCCAAGGAGTGTTGGAAGAGATTGCAGAGTCGGCCACTTGGCGTACTCACACATTCTTTCGACACAGATAGGCGAATGTCGTCGCACCCTGGGAATTTTCCCGCTCTCAGCTTTGATGGCTTGTCGAAAACAACAGCGCGAGTTATCTGTATTTCGTGTAACTCCGCAGCGTCGGATAACGTTAGGGGCTGTTCGGGCGGTTAGTATACGTACTTTTCTGATGGAATTTTGAGCGGTGTGTTAAATGTGGTGCTCAACATTTTGGCGATCTCCTGTCCACAGAGGTTTTCTCCGTTCGGACTTTTTACGAAGCATGCTCCTTAGCTTGTCGATTTTCTCTTTGCCATGAATCGGTATAGGTTTTTGGGGTTTACCTCAAGCCTCTTGGCGAAGTTGGACTGGAATAACCTCCTGTTTCACCGCACCCTGATGTTCCTTCGACTACGTAGTGCCATGTATGCGTCATGGTCATCCTGTTCTCTGGAGAGTCTCCATATGTGCCTCGTTTTAACCATAAGGTTCGCTTTCTGGGTGTTGTTACCGCCAAGGGGACGTTTTGCGAGATGGCCGCCTTAATGATGTTTTTTACCAGTTCCCAGTGTTGGTCGACCGATAAGGAACATCGATCCACTGGCTACGGAGCTCTTGATAGGCTTTTGTTCATACCTTCGTAGTTTGCCCTGTTCTAAGGGGCGAGGTCCCTCCCACGATAATTGTTCACTGATTACCAGATCGAACACTACCATAGCGTGATCGCTGCTTCCAAGAGGAGTTTGTACCCGAACGTTTTCAACCAGAAGGTGATCACTAGTCAGTAGGTAACCCAGTTTAAATGGTCTACCATTTGACCCCCAGCGGGTGTTGTCGCTGATTTTTCCCTGCAGTCCAGCCATTTAGATGGCATTTAGCAGGTAACAGTCGAACTTCCGGCTCGGAGTCGTGCTGCCTTGCTATAGGCTGAGGGTTGGGGCTTTGAAGTCGCCAGCTATTACGATCAGGTCGTACCATATAGTTGACACTGTGGATATTACTTGGAGTAGTTTTGGTTGTGTTCCAAGGAGCTATTAGGGGACCTATAGATTCCTCCAACTAGGAATTTGGTGTGTTTGACCGTGAAGTGACACCAGATAGAGTCTGGGAGCTCTGTCAGTACTTTTTCAGTGGTTTGTTCACTTCTGAACCACCTGTTCACGTATATTGCAACCCTCCCCTCCTTCCCTAAGTTCTCTCTCTCCTGAACAGAATCATGTTGTCTATGTTAACTTCAGTGTCACGTATGTCTGGTGATAACCGTGTTTCTGTCAGGATCATGATTTTCGGGACAGGGTCGAAACAGAGGGATCGGAGCTCTGACATTTTACTTCGGAGTCCTCCCGCGTTGCTGTAAAGACAGCTGGAAGTGCTCGTCATGGCGTGAGATGTCTCTGGGTTAACTAGTGGCACAGGTTTCGGTGTGAGGGTTCCTACTAACTGGCCAGTTCCAGTGGAGCTGGCCCAGTTAAGTTTTTTCCCGGGTCGATTAGTACACTCGGTGTTGGGTAGAGGTTGCCAGCATGACTCTACGTTTCAGTTTAGGGTTACGGCGGCCTGAGAACAGGGAGTAACTGCTGTCTGCTGTTGCCGCATTGTTCTCGGTCTGCTTTCACAGCAGCGAACGTTACTGCTTATGGTGCTCTTGACTTTGTACCACGTCTCTACCACTCTGGTGAGTACTTCTGGGAATTCGAAGTTGACAGCCATTAGTCTAGTTGAAGTCATGGTTGTCAGATGCAGGGGGCATGGCAGTCTGCTAATTGCCCCAGCTGCGACCCCACTCAGCTCCATCCGAGCTGATAACCACTCCCATTGTCGGACATCATGGGTGTATTTATCACCTGGGGTACCGGTCACCATTTCAGGTATTCCATGTACGATCATGGTTTTGGGTTTCAGTGGACCAGCTGCTAAATGTTGACGATACTTCGGCTGGTCTTGCACCCTGGGGAAAATGATGACCGATTTTAGCAGCTTAAATATTTCCCAACCGCCTTATATTACTTTTCCTCATACTTTCCTAGTTTTTCTATGACTTGGTTGTTCAGTAAGATCATCGTTAGAATTTTGTGGATTTCCTACTCCAGCTACATGTTGAGATCTGATCTTTAAGATTATTTACTCTACAGCCAAATATAAGCGTAAAAGTTGGACGCTGGGATAGGATGTAATCCCACATTATATTTGTTTATTTGATTTGTGGTGCACAATGATATTGTATTATCTTATCTTTGCTAACTATTGACCTACAAAATAACCCGAACATTTAATTTATCACTCAGTCAGTCACTCTATTTACTAGCTGTCATGGTATTATTTGTTCATCTCCATCGTCTTTAGGACGACAGGTAGCTTCGTCTGTACCACGGGACTGCTTTTGTGCATTTAACCTCATCTTGAAAGCATCAGTAGGAGCTGTGACAACTTTAGGAAGGTAGTTCCACAATTTTCTTATATGTATAGACTATTAGTTGTCGGACACAATGCTGGGAACCATAAAACTAAATGACAGTTTTAAACGATGTATGCATTATGTGGCGGCAGAATGCCACGTAGGATCGATGGAAGAATTGGGTAGTGTGTGTAGTAACGAGCTGTACGAGACCCTATATGGTAAAGGCTTTAAGGAGGCAAATGAAACAGTAGTATCATACTACTGGATAAGTAACCTGGTAATCATGTTTCCCTGGCGATACTATGAAGCTGTTTAACTAAGAAGAAACATACGACGAAACTGAGACGTACTCAGAGCGTGACTTCGTAAGTAAAGCTGGATGTCGAGAACCGGCGTCTACCATTCGTATTCTTTAAAACCGTCGGTCGGTGCAATGCATTCAGATATGTAGACACAAAAGTTCTGGATAAATTAGTGATCTACTACAAAGGCGAGCACATATAGGGATTAGAGCCAGGAATACAAAAGGACGAGACCTACTGTAAACTGGCTCATAAAAATGGAACAAGCTACGTTATGACTGTGAAAATCTGTTCTTTTCACCACATAAACTGTTTCTAGAGTGTCAAAATCAAGAAATATGGTCGGCTCGAACCAAACGATAAATTCAGGTCAACTCTAGACATTCAACAATTAGAGAAATTGTGTTCCATAAAACAGTCTGGCTTTCTGAAGAAGTTACACGTACCTGAAAAAAGTTCTGGATGTCTTTGTGAACAGATTGATTGGGTCAGTCTGATGTTATCACACCTATACAATTTGGTAACACATGGTTCCACTAAGAAGGGTAGTGTTTGGATTAAAATAAAACGAATGTATTTGAATTACGCATCCGTAAAATGCATACTTGGTTGGATGAAAATACCGATACCGTGGTCCAGAATAAGTGAAATTACACTGTTCAAACATCAGTATGATGACAGGGATACTGAGGCCTATGATTGGATACGTTTGACTCTCCTCAGTGTCTGAAAACAGTGTGATACGTTTCAGTTTATACAGGTGGTGTGTTGCTAAACAGGAACGGTTCTGAGAAGACGATACGGATCCGGAAGTTGTACCGTGCACCCATGTTACCCCTTGGTTTCATGTGGACGTACGAGGTGTTTAAGGTAGACCAAATTGCCTATTCATTGTGAGGATGGAGAATGCCTTCACAGTGCTTTATGGGCAGTGGGCGATGTCCGGGCGCTAGAGGAGCAACCCATTGACTTCGTCTTCGGCCGTCAAGGACAGTGGTAACGCTAACAGGGCAAGCAAAAGGCCTCCAAAGACGTCCAAAATGTGGAACCAGTGTTTGGTATGTTTGCAGGAAGATGGCGGTGGGCCTTTGTAGTTCACGGAGCATGTTAGTGTTCCCGCTGCTCAGGAGTCCTGCGACAATGAACTATGTGCTCCAATTGGATGCTACGAGAGACGTACTTACATAAGTGGGCGACTCACTAACCTAACAAGTTTCGTGTTTACTTGCATCCACAAGTTGTCGCACGTCATATCCTGCCCTACCAGTAATCTTCTGATGTACGGGATAGAGGTAAAGTATTAGTTGGTTAGGTAAGTGGGAAGCAGGAAAGTTGATAGTGCACGGAGTCTCGTGAAGATTGTGCTGGGTACTCCTGACGAACGTGGTATTGTTCTCAGGGATGCACATAAGCTTAGGGAAAAGAGAATACAATTACATCTTGACTCATCACTTCAGAACAGGATAAGGAGAAAGGAAGTTGTATCCAAACTGAAGGCCTAACAGGAAAAAAGCCTAAAAATGCTGGGTTTTCGGGTGGCGAGGTCTCGGCAACCAATGTTGCAGAGGTCACTGTTTATAATTCGGACGAATGCCCAGGTAACACAAAGGTGTACCGTCAAATCTCGTAGCCTCAGGAATAAAGTATCCGAATTAAGAGATTTAGTCGAAGACCTAAATCCTGATGTGTCAGCAATAATAGAAACATGGTTATTAGAAGGCGTGGACGTTACATTAGTTACGCTACGATTTACCTGCATAAGAAAGGATAGAGTCACTGACCGTAAGGGCGGTGGCATAACATTATATATTTGGGAAGATGTTAAAGTGTTTTTGACGGCGTCCGAAGCCCACACTAGTAACATGTGAAGTTGCATGTTGCGATATCAAGCCGAGGCAAGTCACTGTTACTGTAGGATTCATTTTGGTCCTAACACCCAGGCGGATGACTTCGTACGAAACAACCTGCACAAGAGGGGAGCTGGCAATAGGTGCTTAACAGTGGGAAGCCTGAGTGCTCATTATGTTAACTGGAAAGAATTCACAACTGGATGTCTATGTAGCTGTTTCGAAATTGAGCTGCAACTGACTACATCCGAGTGTGCTTTAGTACAAAATGTATTTGTACCTATGTGCTTTGCTCTAGAGCATGAATCTTCACTGTTGAACCTAGCCTTCGCTCACTATCTTAATGTCACCAACCTCCAGCACCCACCGCCGGTGAGTAGTGACCACGTATCTCTTGCGCTCAAATTTCGGACCTATGAATTGACCCCCTGGTGATAACCTGACGACCTTTCTAAAGAATGTTGGCGATTATATATAGACGACCATTATATAAAGAGTCCCTCATACGTCTTTGAAAGCCTTTGAAGAAGAATTTGCTTGAGGCTAGACGTAACCGAGCTATAGTTTATGTTAGTTCCTCTTAAAAATTGTTTCGAAGGTTTTCACATTCTTTTTAAAGCATTTTTATTTTGCTTACCAAAGTTTCAAGTAGGTATCAGTTTTCGCAATCAAATGATTTTGGGAGGGTTTGGTAAATTTCGAGGACGTATGCGCAATTCTTTTTAGTTTGGGGAAATTCTAGGAAGTATGCACTCCACAGTAGATAAGGATTGGTTGTAGCATTTTCCTGAATTTCCCCACTTCTCCACCCACTCCCACCGAAATTGGTTTCAAGTCATTATTTCTTATCTACTTGACAAAATAGTTAGCGACAGCTATTCTTGCAGTTGATTTCACTGCCACTCTCTGTTTGATCGACGTTTGCAGTGCTATAAGTGTGGCTTTCGGTTCTTCAGGGTGTCCACCGGTTTGATATCGACTACGCGTAGACACTATCGTAGGTTTAGGAATAGCCACCGAAATCAGCTAATTGCAGCTTATTAGCAAAATAGCACGGCCGAAAAATGTCTTTCTCTACAATACTTTAAGTGACTTCACGGACCACTCTAGCACACATTAAAGTGACAAGCCACGATTTCTCAACTTAATTTTTACGGCTTCGTGCAGAAGATATTGTGCATCCCTAGGTATTCCCTAATACTTTTTAGGGTTTTGTCCGAAACTTCTAAAGTGAGCTTAGAGGAATTCTTGTACTTCTGATGTTTGATCAATAATTCCTACATGTACGTACAGAGCTGTGTGGGCTACTTGTTTGAAGTCGTCGAGATGCAAAGAGTCACTTCTTGAGAACTTCTGGTGAAATGGCTCGAAATTGGTCAAAGTGGTGTAGTTTTACACACTTTCTAACGTCTTTCAAATTTCGAGCGCTTCTGTTCACTTTCGTTCTAGTGTTCTCTCTTCTCCCTCATCTTTTTTATTTATTTTGCTAAGTTTCTATTTCTGTTGCTTATTTTGGTTATTTTGAAGTGTAGCAGCTTGGATTGATTCATTTTCCTCGAAGGTTCAATGTAGTTCTGTTTGTCTGGTGAAATCAATATTCATGTTACAAGCTCACCAGTCAGTACATCACTGCTTGTTTCATATGATAAGTAAGTACAACTAACTATCGTGTTCTGGTCTGCGATCTGACTTACAAAGTATTTTATATTTTTCTCTAAGACATCTACCTGATTGTCAAGTTTTCGTCATTTAAAATCTTTGTTTTTAAAAAGTGTTTGTTAGAATTATTTCTGTTGGACCGTTTAGTAATTACATTATCAGGTTTTTCAATATCATCTCAAATGTGTTTTTTGTTTCATAGATTTACAACAAATGGCCTGAACTACTTAACAAACCGTTTTGAATCTAAGAAGTAAATTATTTAGATGAGGTCTGCCGTTTTTGCATTCCCATGAACACTTGGCGTCGTTGGGTATTTTTGTTCATCTTTTCAGCGATTTTAGCATCGTTTTTTGGCGAGTATCTTATTTTTATGTCTTGTAAATGTATTCGAAAAAGACACCTTTATTAGAAGAGAAGCTAATAAGAAGGTTTTTTTTGATGATAATGTTGCTAATAAACAAAATTGGTTGGAGATTCTGTACAAAGAAACTTCTGATGAAAAGTCTTCACACAGTGATATTGACAAACATAACTGTCGTATGGACACCTGTTTTGATTACACTCTCTGCCAACGTGATTTCAAGGTGAGCAACAGTATTTATTCTAATCCTTCTTTTTTATTATTTCTGTGATTTTTAAAGTTGTTTGTACATATAACTTGGCAACCACATCGTAAATATATTCGATTGACCTTGATGGGGACTAGGGACCTAACAGTTATTGCGGTTACTACTGGATAGCTGATTCGACTACGGTACATTCATTTTTATCCGTATATACTGTTATTAGTAGTTTCAGTTTTAAGTGTTATTATCTCGTGTGACTGTAATGACTAATTACATTCAAAACTTGTATTGATTTATCTCCGTTTTTTTATAAATCCATGAAAAGTTTTTTGAATCATCTGCATCGTGGAAGGTAGTAGGTGGTTGACAAAAAGTGGCATATCTTGGTTTTGTAACTGCATTTCTAACTAAAAATTGCATCCATGTATTTCGCGTTCCATATTGTTGTTGTTTCATAGCTATGTGACGTAAAGATTTGAAGAGGTGGATTTCATATTCACATTTTCTCTTGACTGCATTTTTGTGTGGAAGTAATTGTTTTATTGCATCAGTATTCTGAAATGACGATATCTTTGATAAGTCTATGGTTAACTAAGATTGGTTACTTAATATGCATTCAGCTATACTTTGGACATAGCCGGCTTTCGACCGTAGTAAGTCGACTGTATAAAGTTGTGAACTATATTATAGACTTCAACCATTTCCCCTAGTGCACTTAATAGGTAAATGTCACAGTGCCCCCATCGCACACACAGCTTGCAGTTATAGCTTGGTATTTTTCTGTAGATGAATGAATACATATGAATTCATTTTATTTTAGGGATTCTCTTCAGCTACAATCATCCTCAAAAGATGCATATAATTTGATAAATAAAAACACATTTTTATAGGTCAGAATGAACATGGAAACTGCTGAGGTTAAATAAAGATTTAAGAAACTGAATGTTGATGTCGGCCTTACCTGTGACAATAAAACAGTTTGTTTGCCTACAAGCCGTTGAGAAAAAAGATTTTGACCACTACTTCATAGGTTCAAGTCTAACTTTAGTTACTGAGTTTTAGAGACAGACGGTATCAAATAACTCACTCAGTAAACTTTGCTGATGTATATCGATGCAATATATATTCAGTGTTCACATAGAGCTTACTGGGTTTTTTTAATTGAAACTAGTATATTTTTGAATGTTTACTTCTGTAGGTTTATGTGTACCCACGATCATCAAAACAACCTAGTCCATCTTTAACCTACCAAAAAATCCTTACAGCTCTACGCAATTCAAAACTTCTTACGTCAGACCCATATGAAGCTTGTATTTTTATTCCCAGTCTGGACACTCTTGATCGAGATCCCTTAAGTCCACATTTTGGTCAGTATATCGCTCAAGAGCTGGTTAATCTTCCATTTTGGAATTCACTACCTAAAAGAGATGTTGACAGTAAGTAACCCTTTTTGTGAGTACAAGCGTACGTGTGGCCCATTTATTTTGACACTCAATTTTCAACTAGATTGTCACAGCTACACAACCGACTCCACTTACCGAGGTTTGTACAACCAGTATACGAGCTCTTAGATAAATAATTCAGGTTTTAGGGTAAGTTACGGAGAGTGGGAGTGTTTGAATTTTCTGTCCAGCCAAATATGCATTCAGCATTCCATCATCAGAGCGAACTCATCCAGGCATACGAAGTTTATAATCTGCAAATTACTACGCATCCACCACTGTCATACTTCAGAGTCGTCTTCTACAGTGATTGTGGAATGAACGATGGCACCTTGGTCAGTTAATTTGGCTTGATTGCCAGGTCACTCAAGATGGGTTATAGGAATTTTCATATGTTAGGTAATTTAGTGTTTAGTTTCAAAGTTAATAATCTCGTGGAAAATGCATTTCTTAATAGTCAGACGTAGACTTAACATCTTATTGATCTAATCAACTGCAGTTTTCATGACTAGAAATGCAAGATTAGACGAGTTGTACGCTTCTATGTTTCTGAATAGTTTTTCAACTAACATTCAATAGTCTTCGAATTAATACCTCTAAGTCATCAAACTAGGTGAGTTAGCTGTCCGTGCTTGGTAAAATAGTAACATTCGCGTGTAAGTAACGCCTATCAACTGACTTAAATTAATACTCTCATGTTATTTGTGGACTTTCTTTTCATTGTTTTTCCACGTTCTATATTTCTTCGAAAGCAAACTCATTTTCTACCACTACTCAGAACCCTTCAGAACACGCGGGTCGTAATCATCTAATATTCAATCTGTACACAGGCACTTGGCCATATTATCACGAAGATGAGTATCGTTTGTGGTTAGGCCAAGCAATGATAGCCAAAGCCAGTTTCTCAACTAAACATTTTCGTCCGAAGTTTGACATTTCTTTGCCACTTATCCATCCTGAACATCCTACACGATCAGGAATAAATCATGTACAACACTTGGTGAGCAGTGAACATTTACGAGGTCGAGTTGATTTGCCGTATCTTCTAAGTTTTAAGGTAATTAGTAACTTTATTTGTTCATGTAGATGAAAGTTCACCCGTAATGTTTTAGTTGCTTAAATTCTATAAGTAATAGTTTACTTCTGCTTGTAAAATCTTACTTTGTTACGTAAACCATATATCAATTAAGAAATACCTTATTATCTGGAAATAACAGAATGAACTTCTTCTCTGTGAAAATTTTGTACATTCAAAAACTGTGGAGTATAGTCTGATAGGAACTGAACAAGAAATATCGAATTGGACAACTAACTATGCTCAACTTAATAGTGAAATCTGCTTCATTGAAACAAACGACTATGCTTTATGGATAAATAGAGTTTTCTTAAAGTGGTATTCTTTATATGCTTATTTAATTGTTATTTAAAAGGATACCGACAAAAAAAGAAAAATAACTTCATCCTTTGTAGATCTTAATTCCGACTGACTGAAGATTGACAAATAAGAATAATGTTGGTGTTTAGTATGAGATAAGCTGTTGGTCTATGAAAAAACTTACTGAAGCTAACAATACCTGTGCTTGAACCCTCATTGAAGGCTTTCGGAGACCCTGATCAATTTGCACATAAAAGCGGAAGAAGCAGTCTAGATGCCACCAATTTCTTATATCAAAATATTGCTTGTAATCTCGATAGAAATGCCAAGTATATCAGGTATGCCTTCAGCATTTGATTCTGTTCCAAGACCTCTTTTGCTGGACAAGCTGCACGGGACTAATACTGAGTCCTGGATAACCAGTTGACTGCATTCCTATTTCTCTGAAACGAAACAATATACTGTTCTCAGAGGGAAGTGCTCCACCTCATTGCTTACTGTAACTGGTGTTCCCCACCAAAGCGCCATCCCTTCCCCTGTCTTTTTTTTCTGCATGACTTACTATCTTCAGCTAGTATCAATTTTATCAAATATGCTGATGACCTGACAGTTTTCATACCTGTTTCCTCTTCAACGGATTGTTCTCTACTGTATGATTTCCTATCTAATGTTAGACGATAGTCCTCCGTAAATGGTCCTATGCTTAATTCTTCAAAATGTCAGACAACAAACTTCAGTTTTAGGCGTGAACATAACCTATGTAAACTGCTAACTTCTCATGATTCCTGTTCTATTGATAGTTGTGCATTAGAGAATGTTAAAAATGTGATTTATCTCGGTGTTTTTCTTCGGAGCTTTCCTCGTCCTCCCATATCTTACCGATTTCCAAGAGAATTTTCCGCCTAACTTTCTATATTAAGAAGCTGAAAGTATCTGGTGTAACATAGCCTCTCATCTTGCCCGCATCTTGGCTGTTCTCCTTTATTCTTTTCATGGTTGCTGAAAAAAGACTGTTTTATTGCGTAAAACTTTTAAAATTGTCAGCAGAACTAGTGGTGTACCTTCTAGTTAAAATTGTTGTAGATAAACATCTGGCAGGAGTTATTTTATCAGATGATCAGCATCCTCTTCACTCAAAGCCCTCTGCGTATTGGTCATCTGGAAAGACTAGGAGCAAGTACATAAGACTATATTCACGTACTACAAAGTATGAAAACTCTACAATACCGTACTTAGCTCCTCTGCTGTGTAATGAAGAAAGTATTACAAATGAGCTAACTAATCAACTGTTTTTGAAAGCAAACTAATCTCTGAGTATACATCATATTATCATTTATGTGTTATGAATTTAATTGCTAGTGTGATTGTCTACCGAAGTCAGTTATGCATTTCCGAGAAAGTTGTAGATAGGGCGAATATTCCTACCTTTTATATGTAATTTGTACTTATTTAAATTTGCTATGTAAACACTACACCAACGTCAAGTCAGTGCTTCTGTATGGTTCAGAGACTTGACGCATTATGAAAGGCATTTCCAACAAACTACAGACATTCATCAACAGCTGCCTACGATGGCTCCCTACTCAAGATCAGATGGCCAGAAAGAATAAGCAACAAGGAACTCTGGCTGGTGACGAACCAACCAAGAAGTTATCGCTCAACAAATATGCAGAAGGAAGTGGAGATGGATGGGATTGGGCATACACTGAGAAGACCGACTGGGGACATCACACGTCAGGCCAGGCACTCGAGTGGAACCCCGATGGGAAGCGATTAGTTGGGTGTCCGAGGTGAGGGTGACATGGAGAAGATGGTGCGAGAAGGAAATGAGAGCTTGTGAGCTGTTGTGGAGCCAGGTTCAAAAGATTTCAGAGAACAGAGTGGAATGGGGACGTGCTAGTGAAGCCCTATGTTCCATTAGGAACCCAAGGGACAAATAAATAAAATCAATAAATGTAAACACTATTTCTATCTAACTGATGCTATATGACATGCTGAAAATTCTGTAGAGTATCGCCGAAATAGTTTTCAGAATAAAGGCATTATTATTTTTTTAAAAATCTAAAAATATGCTTTTTGTTTACGCATAAAGGAAGACTTTGATTGATTGGAAGTTCGCTGGCCAATTATAGGGCAAAGTCTCAAAGTCTGTCTCAGCTCCTAAATAAATCGCACATTTGTTCATTCTGGGCTGACATTGAATATGTACATTGGTGAGTGAATGAAATCTTTCATACCTCTTTATATTTTCGTCAAATCATAGGGTCAACATCTAATGCATGACCTCATCATCATCATCATTACTGCGTAACGGTCCAATTTGCCACACCTCATATCAGCACATGAATGACCTATGCTCAACACTATGTGTTATTTTGAAATCCTATTCAGACTTGGAGATACTTATCTTAAATTCAATAATTGTCTTTGAAGTGTCCAGATAATTGAGTAGCTTCTTTTATCAGTTTATTCATGAGATTTGTTTCAATCTTCATATATTTGTCCCGCTTTTTTAATAGGTTTACTTTTACATTTGTGGAGTTGAGTAGTGAAACTTAAGTCACAGTTCTGGAGTACTTTGGTGTATACACTAATTTAACGATTTTTCATATTTGTTTTTTGTCCAGACATCCTCAAAGATGCTGAGTTGTTAACTGAGGCTTTTCGGTCGATTTCTCTGCAAGTTGATGTCAAACAGAAATTCATTAGAAATCATAAATCCTGTATAAGCGTCCCGTTGTATTCTAAGATGCCTTGATATTAGTTTGTGCCAGTAACTTTAATGAGATTCGATTCAAGATCTGTGGGTTCTACAGTGAGCATATTGGCGTTTGAATTAATACTCCACTTATGATTTACCAGGATTTTCAATATTAATCCATTTTAATGTGTCGATGTTTATCTTTTCGTTTTTGTGCATCATTGCTGTCATACAGCGTTTAGTTAGCTTCAAATAATAATCTTATATGTCTTGTGAATACGTGCTACGCTTATATAACCTAACCTCTCTGTTAAACGACTAGATTTTACAGATAACAGTGATAATTGCAGTTATTTGGTTCAAATAAATTCTATTGCGACCTTTTAGGGTAAGCGCTATGTCAGTGGGATAGGATCAGCATCACGTGATATACTCTTTCATTTGCACAACGGAGAGGATATAATTATGTTGACTACTTGTCGTCATGGCACGGACTGGACTCGATATGCCGACAAACGCTGCGCTACTGATATGGCTTTATATGACACGTAAGTTCTGTTGCTAACTTTCTTATTACAATGCAATATTTTTAAAATTTTATAGTGATGACCAGCTGTAGGGGCGAGATATTAGTTTCATACTTCTAATTAATACAATGCTAAACTGCACTGTTTCCGTTTGCCAGTGTATGGTGTCATTGTATTCAGTTTTATGTATGCATTCATTTTCACTGCTTAGAGATATCTGTTTACTGATTACTTATCTAAGACAGTAAGTTAGTACAAGATGAGCATCAAGAGATGCGCCATCCAAAACGGTAAAGGAACACTAAAAGATATGGAAAATGGAAGGAAGAATATAAATGAAAAGACACAAATGGACAAATGGAGAAGCAGTGTCAGTGATACTTTTGAGGAAACATTGACTACTTTTGTTATACTTTCCAGTCATGACTGTAGCGTAGTTGGCACTGGTTTTGATCTTTATCTATGTATGATATCTTACCAAGGCACTGAATTCATTGACCACTCAGACGCCATCAAATGACAGACAAAATCAATATAGAACCTCATGAGGCACATACAGATACAAACTTAAAGAAACTGTCCTTTATCTGACAGTGCTGCATCATACACTGACCGCCTCTCCGGTTCTTCCAACCAGTTCTAGGGCAAATGAACAGTGAGTTTTGTGGTAGTCAATTGAATGATATACATAGCCTATATCCAAGACACCAAAACCGGTGTTTCAAGATGATCTGAATTAATGGCTATTTCCATGTTCAAACACATTGCCTTATTTCAGAGTAACTTACATAGCGTTTCTGTTGGATGCCAGCAGTCGTCCTGAGACAGGGTTAATCGAACATCCGGAGTTGGTGGACATTGCCGGCTCGGACACATCAGAATTCATATACTTAGAGCAGAACTGACCGTCTTTATGTGTTGCTGAGGATTTCAAGTTGTTAACTAACTAACAATTCCAAAGACAGCCCTGTCCAACGATTTGAAGATAACCCTAATATCAAGAATCACAACGATTACTGGTCTGCGATACTTGTGACCGTGTTATAGCATCTGGCAGAGGGTAAGCACATGGCCAATACATTCAAAACTTGAAGAAAATCTGGCTTGCTCCTCCTCAATCAGTTTCATATGCGTGTTGCAGATCCTGGAAAGTATGATGACAGCCAATGCATCAGTATGCATCAATTGGTAGTGTTATTTAAATGTAGGGATTATTGAAACTGTCCTAAATCTTTCTGCAGCTGAATTTTCAAATCAGTTCCAGCCAGCATAGTTGTATATAAAGACCCATTTACCAGCCAATAGTTTAGCTAACGACTATTATCATTGTACGGGTGATTGCGATATGCTGAATGAAACGGTTCAAACTTAATACATTTGGTAGTAGTTCGTTCTTGGACATCATTAACGTAAATTATTGCTCTTTATCTACACATTTTGTTGCTAATTCTTCCGTGTTGTGTAGCTTCGTGATAACTCGAGCAAATTCACTATTCAGCCAGGTTTTTCGTTGTTCTAGTCAGTCGTTTTTGCAGCTATTTCAATAATTCTCATGAGTTGTTTGTTCGGAAAGAAGAATCGTTTCTTGTAATCAGCATTACTAGTCAAGATTACCTTGCCTTTGTAGCCGATGTCTTGGAACTATTGAGGTATTCCGTATCTTTTACAAGTTAACAAATTATTACGCTTTGATTCAGGGTTTACATAGAAATTAAATGTATCATTTTATGTGCTAATGATTCGCATTTGGAGACTAAGATGTGACACCTCAATAAGCGAATATTTTTTTCTTGTAGGTATAATTATTGGGAACTAATGCATAATTCTACATTTTGTCTTGTCCCTCGTGGTCGCCGACTAGGATCATATCGGTAAGATTCATTGTCATTGTTTGATTTTATCTTTTTTGAAGTTATTTCTAATCAGTAATTTGTATTTATAATTTTTAGTTAAATATATTCAGGATTTTATGCAAGTCCTTTTGAGTACGCTATAATAAAGCAAATTCTGCGATTTCGGTACAGCTTCCAAAAAATGGGTCACTGCTTGTAACTCATATGAATATGAACAATAAATTTTATTCGAAATTTCATCCAGCAAATAATACTCTTTCATCATGTGAAATATTCAAGAAGCAAACAAACATGGAATTATACACTACCACAGCGCCCAAGTTATACTCTGACATTAATGATGCCATACTGTTCATGGCTGAAAACTTACTCAATTCTAGATTATGATGTCGAAATCCATTATTGTATTCATACAAACCAAAAGTTTTATTTATTTAAATCGAGATATCATCTAAAAAACCGTCTTGTGCATACAATTCTGCCCATATGAGAAGCGTTTCAAGGTTGCCTGGTTTTTTACACCAGTGAGCAAGCTTTGCTATCTAGATTTTCACCTTATGTATGGAAGTAACTAGTCAGCGAATGGAAAAAATGATTTTCCGAAAAGTCATTACAAATCCCAGTTTGTAATCTCATAATCTGATCTGCACTTTTGAGTTAGAAAAACCCCTTTCGCCTATTTTCTGTCTTCTAGATGGGCGTTGAGTTGTTTGGATTTGCTTCATTAAGTCTGTTTGATTACGCTACATCCAGTGAACAAAAAAGATGCAGTTCAGCAACCACACATACGTTCATGCAATAGGCAATGAGGCACACCATTTGTCTAAGGGTTATTAATAATACTTGGTTTGCTAAATGTTGAAAGGTGAAGCGGAATTCGAACCTGTGGCTGAAAGTCAACTAGCTACACCAATAAACCACAGCTCCACCGAGCACTTGTCGGTTTTCTTGAAATTGATAATATTTATGTCCGACATTCTAGTAATAGTGTCATTATCATCATTATTATTAGTTGTCATTCACTTAGCTACTAAACCTACAAAAGGTTTATTAGCAGATGTTTATGTCAATATTTTTTATTTGTTTTTCGGTGAAGATTTTTAGAAGTTTTACAGGCGGGTTGTATCCCAGTTATGTTGAGCAACGATTTAGAACTTCCGTTTTCTGAAGTGATTGACTGGAATCGAGCGGTTGTTTGGGCTGATGAACGACTACCGTTGTTACTTCCACTGAATTTGCGACGTATTACATCGCACCAAATTATTCAGTTTCGACAACAAGTTATGTTTCTTTGGCACACTTACTTGTCGTCAATTGCATCCATTGTTCTTACAACACTTGAAGTAAGTGTTGTGTTTAACTTACTTCCTATGTACTTATTCAAATGAAAGATTTCTAGATCTCTCATGATTCATAACGTTTAATGTTCTGTATTTTGAGATGAATGGTGATTTTTAATTGAGAGGTAGTATTCGTCACACACTAACATTAGTTGGGGAGCCATTGAAAATCTGGGAGCACTAGACAGCTGTTTCGTCGTAGTATGAGACTCCTCGGGAGAACGTACAGCTGTCTAGTGCTCCAAGATTTTCAATGGTACCCCAAATGATGTCAGTCCATGATGAATTCTACCTCTAAGTTCAATGTTCTACAGACAAATAGAAGGAGTAGCTATGGGATCGCCAATATCCCCAATCGTAGCAGCTGAATTTATGGATAGTAGGGAAAACATGGCTTTACAAACGTTTAGTCCTGCACCAAAAATATGGTGGCGACATGTGGTTGACACATTTACTGTGTCGCAATCGGAACATATCGACAATTTCCTTATGCATATAAACTCAGTAGTAGGTGCAATCCAATTCACGTATGAGGTGGAAAATGAGCAAGAGGAATTATCTATATTGGATTGCAGAATAAAACGAAGGACAGACGGTGGTTTGGATACCACTTTCTACAGAAAACCAACACATTCCAACAGGTATCTATACTTCAGGTCATCCCATGCAATGTCAGTTAAGACAGGATTAGTCGAATGTCTAAATGATAGAGCTAAAAACTGACTAGTCAGAGCAAGAACCTAAACAAGGAATTGAAACACGTAAAAGAAGCTCCAATGGTGAATAATTATCCTCCGCAGTTCATGAAGAAATTCTTACGGACATCCAAAAAATAACAGTCACACGAGAAAAAAGGTATTCACAGCCTCCATTGTATTACCCTATAAGGAGGGTACCTCAGAAACTTTACGTAGAATCCTCAACAGAGCTGGAATTATGGTGGCATTTGAACCTACAAACTCACTCAGAGATAAACTTTGTCGGCTTAAGGATCCGATAGAACCAATTAAGCAAAATAATCTAACCTATCCAATTCCATGTAATGACTGTGAGGTCAAGTACATAGGTCAAACTAATCGGTCGGGGTCAGTTAGAATAGCCGAATTGAGCTAAATATAGAATAACAGACCTAAATAAGATCAATAACCTAGAAAAAAAAACCGGCTATTGCTATGCATGCATTAACACACAACCACACAATAGGGTGGGATAAAGCCACTGTACTGTACTTAAGTCCAATATAATTAGGTGGGGAGAGAGCGAGAGATTGGTTACTGAATCTTTGTTCATCGAATCAGCACGCAACACATGTAATCGAAATGACGCAACACCTATACCAGAGATATGGAAATTTTTGCCACCAATAAAAACAACTCATATAAGGTGACATAACTATAAAAATAAAATGTCGAAAGTAGTGTGATTACATTGATATGATTATGAGCAATAATTTATGCTCGAAACGTCATCAAGGAAATAATACTAGATCACTGTGTGTTATAAATCAGATAAATGTCAACTAGAGAGTCAATAATCTACTCCGATATTGTCACCCAGACGACAACCACGAACACAGCACACTTTTTCGAGTGGTTATCATGATATCCCTAAGCAGTAGGACCAGATGGAATTCCTCTAAAAGCACTGGGAACAGACGCAGAAATAATGGCGGACATGCTCACATCACTATTGCAGAAGGTTTGGAAGGAAGGGAAGGTACCTGAAGATTGGAAGAAGGGTTACCTTGTCAAACTCTCAAAGAAGGGAGACCTAATCCTTTGCAAGAACTGGCACGGAATCACACTCCAGTCCACCCCAAGCAAAATATTATGCCGCATTATCCTGAAGAAACTAAAAGATGCTCTGGATTCAAAATTACGACCGGAAAAGGCTGCCTGGCTTCAGGAAAAACAAATCATGTGCGGACCAGATTGCAACGCGACGCTACGCATCATCATAGAACGGAGTATAGAATGACAGTCAACTCTCTACCTCAACTTCATCGACTTTGAAAAGGCCTTCGACAGCGTCAACCGACAAGTAATTTGGCGGCTTCTTCAACACCGGTTTTATTGTCACGAACCTTTATGAATCTCATTCAAGAGCTATATGAAGACTCCACATGCCAGGTAATTCACAATGGAAAGCTCAGTGACGCCTTTGAAGTGAAGATGAACATGAGTAAGGCAAGTTTGCCTATTATCACCGATGATCTTTCTGATTGTGGTAGACTGGATCATGCAAGAAACTGTGAAGAGCGAAAAGATGGACATATGCTGACTGGACCGATGAAAGTACGCCAGAAGAAGATTTGGATTTCGCCACCGATGATTTATTTCTAATGCGGCACAAACTCGAAGACCTACAGGCAAAAACTAACAAGTTGGCAGAAGAGGCGAGTCAGCGAAGACGGGACTTCCTTCAGGTGAACGTAGAGAAGACAGAGGTAGAGGTGATGAAGATACCTAACCAACAACAACAACAAGCATTAATCACCATCAACAAGAGAAAACTAAAGGACGTAGTCTCTTCCAACCTACCTAAGCAGGGCAGCATCGTTTCAACTACAAGCGGCACAGATAAAGACGTCAAAACCAGGATCATAAAGGCAGCAAGACAGGCCTTCATTAATCTAAAATAATCAGTATGGAGAGCTACTGCACTGCACTTAGCATAGAGCGTAAACACGATCCCGGTTTTCAACACTAGTTCAGTCAAGTCAGTGCTTCTATATGATGGCTGAGAGACTTGGCGCGTCACGAAAAGCATTTCCAACAAACTACAGACATTCATCAACAGCTGCCTACATTTGGTACTGACAGTGAAGACCGGATGGCCAGAAAGAGTAAGCAACAAAGAATTCTGGCTAGCAACGAACAAACCAAGAACTCATCGCCCAACAAATATGCAGAAGAAATTGGAGATGGATTGGTTTGAACATACAATGAGAAGACCGCCTGGGGATATCATACGTCAAGCCCTCGACAGGAATCCAAAGGGGAAACGACGAGTTGGGCGTCCGAGGTTGACATGGAAGAGATGGTGTGAAGAAGAAATGAAAGCTTCTGGGCAGTCGTGGAGTCAGGTTAAGAAGATTGCAGAGAAGAGAGTGAAATGGTGACGTGCTAGTTACGCCCTATGTTCCACTAGGAACCCAAGGGACAAATAATAGTAATAACAATAGTAATGTTTCGTAGGACATCACAAGTTGTGATCTCGGCTATGTGGTTTCTAGTGGAAATTTTGTTGAGATCAGAGATGTTTATTTGAAAAAAGCTACTTAAATGAGAAAAATGTCGCTATGAACTGCGTAGTCACAAAGTCTCACGAAATTGACTCGTCAAATATCATCATTTACATTCACTTAGATATCATATAATGCACAGATCTGACGTGCACAAAATGATCAAATAATTTAGATGCAAAAGTGTGAAATCAATGCACAAGATGTAACTGGAATGTCATTAGTAAATTTCCACGCTTTCCAACTTTTCTCAAAGTTCTTCTCCTAGATAATGTCATCCTTTAACAGAGTTACAAACAGTCTCTCATCAAAGCCTATATGAACACGCAAGCAGCATATTCATTGTACAGTATTTAGTGATATCATTCTTCTTTTGATGAGGATAACATCAAAATCGATAACGCTTATAATCCTAAATTCAAGTTTTTTCATCACAACAGTCAAGTTATTTAAGCAAAAACAGCACCCGCATAGAAACAAAGTAGAACATTAGTATAGCTGTAAAACTTGAGCACTGTGGTAGAAATTAATTAAATATTAAATTTGTTTATCTGATTTATAACACACAGTGATCTAGTATTATTTCCTTGATGACGTTTCGAGCATAAATTATTGCTCATAATCATATCAATGTAATCACACTACTTTCGACATTTTATTTTTATAGTTATGTCACCTTATATGAGTTGTTTTTATTGGTGGCAAAAATTTCCATATCTCTGGTATAGGTGTTGCGTCATTTCGATTACATGTGTTGCGTGCTGATTCGATGAACAAAGATTCAGTAACCAATCTCTCGCTCTCTCCCCACCTAATTATATTGGACTTAAGTACAGTACAGTGGCTTTATCCCACCCTATTGTGTGGTTGTGTGTTAATGCATGCATAGCAATAGCCGGTTTTTTTTTCTAGGTTATTGATCTTATTTAGGTCTGTTATTCTATATTTAGCTCAATTCGGCTATTCTAACTGACCCCGACCGATTAGTTTGACCTATGTACTTGACCTCACAGTCATTACATGGAATTGGATAGGTTAGATTATTTTGCTTAATTGGTTCTATCGGATCCTTAAGCCGACAAAGTTTATCTCTGAGTGAGTTTGTAGGTTCAAATGCCACCATAATTCCAGCTCTGTTGAGGATTCTACGTAAAGTTTCTGAGGTACCCTCCTTATAGGGTAATACAATGGAGGCTGTGAATACCTTTTTTCTCGTGTGACTGTTATTTTTTGGATGTCCGTAAGAATTTCTTCATGAACTGCGGAGGATAATTATTCACCATTGGAGCTTCTTTTACGTGTTTCAATTCCTTGTTTAGGTTCTTGCTCTGACTAGTCAGTTTTTAGCTCTATCATTTAGACATTCGACTAATCCTGTCTTAACTGATATTGGATAGGATGACGAAAAATACTACTGAAGAAAAAGAAATCAGGAAAAATTTATACTTTTGGCTGAATGCATCTGCATCCATTGCTTATGAACATTGAACCATATGTGCCACGTGATCATTTAATATTTAACTCCCTTCTGATGTGCATAGTGAAATCTGCTTATCATCATAAGGGATGGTTTTCCAAATTATCACGTCTTTTGATGACATTCGATTGTTGATTCTATGATTAAAAATCGTGAATAACCCAATCAGAATAGTGTTTACAAAACAAGATTATATTTTAATCTTTGAATACTTGTATGAACTTGATTGAATTTCACTAGCTGTAATCTTTCTACATTTATAAAATTCTCTATTTCAACCACACATCCTTGTCACTTCTATAAAAAAGTAGGTTATGTATTTTTTTTGATAATTAGTACTGTTTCTACAATTCGAAATGTAACCAAAGAGAATCCAATAGCTAATTGCCTGAAAATCTTGCTACTAGTGTTCTTCTTGTTTTATTTAAGCTGTATATTTTTATTTCATGAAATTTTCATCAGATCTATTCACCCTATGTAAGTAAATAATGCACACAAATGAAAAGAAACATGTACGTTTCAGTAGTTATTAATCCACGTTCTGAAAACAGGATGAAAACTAAACGGATATTTATTTCAAATTCATTAGGCGAAATTTGTGCAGGATATTTCTAAGTTGAAATGGATGAGAGGAATTTAAATAGGTGATTACTCTGTGATATTATCATTTATTTTGTTGATTATTTACTAAAATTATCCGTTCTGCAAATACTTTTCCTATTACATTATTGAAATTCATCAAGAGGATTAAGTATATGTATAACATTTTACAAATTTATTTGTTCGTATCATCCCTCAATTCACTCAAGTAACCATCTGACTACAAATTAAGCTTTCGCTTAAATTGATTATTTGACTTAAAGAGGTTCATTTTTAAATCACTATTCGAACTGCTGGTGTTGCAGTAAAGAGAGTATTGGGATCTATGTTTACTCTTAGCTTTCATTGACTCACCACCTTAAGAATTTGAGTAAATAATGTAGAATTTTCATTGCATTATATGAACTCGAGACTAAGAGTGTTAGAAGTTTCTAATGCCTGTCATTCTAGTGTGAACTTCATGAAAATGTGTGGGGAAAATGAAGTCACTCATTTTTCAGATGTCGCTCTGAACAAAGGTTCTGATTTTATGATGGAAAAAGAGGTGGTTTTACAGAAAACGAAGAGTTTGTCGCAAAAGAAGGGGTAATTTCAAAGAACGGATCTTTAACAAGTAGTTATCCAAAAATATTCTTCCATTAATTGCTTTAGGTTGTAGTGAGAGCCACTTATAAATTACTAATAAGTTGTCGCATTTTCTTAGAATGAAACTTTTTGTGATATGTGTAACACACGCCTAACCACGACTATTTTAATGCACTATATTAACAGAAATAATAGTGGAATAAAAGAAACCTTAAAATAATCAGAATATGAGATAGTGAGCGCTTGATTACTAGTCCTATGTATATAACGAAGTACATGCTTTGTAGTTAGTACCTATGAGGCAACCAAAATTGATGACTGGAGACTTTGGACTATATAAGTGCATGTTGATCTCTTCAGCCTTCTTACTTCGTCTTTCACTCTTGAATATCGCATTATTATATACCTTATACCCGCTTACTGGGTGGCTTTCCTTTGTCTTCTTCTCTGTATTTATATACCACTACTTTTTATTGTTACCTTGAATACTTAGTTTATCCCTATTTTTGACTTTTCTCTGTTTCTAAACATTAGTACAACTAGTCAGTGCATACTTGTATGAATTATCCTAGCTAAGTTTCTACAATCAACCCAGCCAAATTTTAGTAGTAACAATACTAGTCATACTACCAGTAACGGTATTAGTAAATCTTTCCTATCTAGCAAATAATGCTGTTGTTGTAGTATTTTTTTTAAAATAGGGTGTCACTTGCATCAATATTTTCAGAACAATGAGCACTATTATTCTGGTATTCATACTGTTTAGTACTAGCTAACAATATATTATTACTAGGTATTTTCGTGTGCATATTACCAATAAGTATAGAATTCAGCCTATTAACTGCGAATATCGAAGTGTGGATAAAATGACCGAGTGAATAATAATAACGCGAGGAATAATAATATTGATGCGACACTTGAACTGGATGTGAATTGTGACTCTTCTCCCTCAGAACTGTCTACTCCACTGAGCCACAAAGATCAGAAAGCAAAGACTGATCTGTGACAGTAAGGAAGACATTTTGTTCGACAAAAATATACCATTTATATTCAGTTTTCATGAACATATAAAACGAATAGCTCAAAAGTTGGATATTTATTTTGATTGGTCAACTAAAGGACAATTTTTCTAATGAGGTTTCTCCTGACCACAGTAACATGAAACAAGTTGAAATTGAAAACTGCTACCCTAGCGGCTGATGACTTAAAGTGTTGGTTTCCGTTTAGGCTGCTTTCTATCAGTGGAATTTGAACTCGTTGAAGGTTTTCGCTTTTCCCGTTTAGTAGAATATTATCAAGTCTATAATTTAGTCGGTATTTGAATTTCTGTCCAAATATTGCATCGATATCTCCAATAACTTTCTGTGATTACTTTATCCGTATTGTTTTTCTCATTCACTGTACACAATTCCCTCTTTTTACTTTCATTTCTGTATTCAGATACTACGTGATAGAGTTTCACTTCGTACACGAAGTTATGAGGTTTGGAATTCTTTACCTGGCGGTCTTGTGCTTTCTCATATGAATTCTGTAGATAATTGTGATGTGACATTATATCGGTATCCAGTTCAGTGTCAGGGTAAGTTTTCACTAGTGAATAGATTTCATAGATGCCATAGTAAAACAATTTTGGAGATACAAGTGTAAAAAAGGAACTATAGTTTATTGATTTAGGCATGTAACCTGCACTTTTTAGTTTAACTGCTATTGTGTCGTATAGTCCCTCCATGCTGCTTGACATGTGTTTGATTGTATCGTGCACTAGTATGCGCAGCTCAGCAATGCAATCCTGAGAACTGACCATGGAAGCTGAATATTACTCTCTAAGCAGTTTCCCACGTTCAATGAAACCCTACGGTAAAAAGTGATGAAACCAGACTAAGTGCTTTCAGCGGCTTTGTGAAGTTATTGTTTAATGTTGTTAACCTACATTAATAAATGTAGCTAGAATATTTGTCATATACACCAAGTCCGTGTCGCAGGGTGAATTAGTATCGGAAATATGTAACGAATTCATAAAAAATGGTAGTTAGTAAGTGAAACTGGGTCTGAAAATACAAACTGAACGACTTGGGTACTCAGGAAAATTGAAATTTTCGATAAAATGTTTTGTTTATTATTTACGTTGATCCAGACACATTCACTTTTTTCTTACTTTGAAGGTTGAAAATCGTATTCTGAAATTATCAACCGTTCATATTCTACTATATTATGTTTAGTCTTTTTGAATACTCACTTTAATTTCCTTGTTATTTAAAAGTATAGAAGGTGTTATCTTTTATGCAGAGCTTTTTTAGTTCATAGTTCCCTTCGTTCATGTAAGTTATCGGTATGCAGGAGAAACTGTTCAGTGGCAATCAGTATACATGTAACATCCCAGACGCGTTATTTGTGATGAAAAACTTTCTTCAAGTCGAAAATATGCTCCTTTATTAATCAAAGTTATTCTATGCATAGATTTGCTTACAGATTCTGCAGAATAGCCTTTATTTGAATGAACACGCGTATAATAATAGTTAAATAAGTATTGAAGTTCCTAACTGATTGTTGAGGGTTGTGTGCGTGTTTGCAAGGCCATTGTATCTTAATTACGAAAAATGTTCTAAAAATCATTTCCTTTCTTATAAGCGCTCTGTCTTTATGAAGAATGCCGTAAAAACTTTCAATTTCTTGTTGTAATATTTTTTTTAACTAGTGGAAATCAGGTCAGGTTTTACTATGCTTATTCCGATTCGTCAAGAACTTTGCGATGTATATAAAGAACGTATGAAGTCATTTCATGGAACACTTTTTCGTTCAGTATTTTTGCGAAAGGTAACAGATTTTCATCATTTCGTTTTTGTATACTTTAGCTAATTAGCATTTTATGTTCAGCAAGATAAAGAATATCTATTGCTCAAAGTGTGAATATTCAAATAGAAATGACCTTCAAGCTGGCATTGTTCAAGTCACAGTTTTCAATGGCATTCCAGTCATTGTTTGAAGTGAAGATTGAACATTAGTAGAGATAATAGTTCCTCCATTTATATCCATATAAATCAGCGGTACTTACACACTTCAGTCCCCTAAGATCCAATAGGGTTTAATAATTCAGAAAATAAAAAAGATCAGCCAGGAATCAGCATATTCCGTTGGACCGACAATTTTCAGAACTTTCAAATCAACTAATTTGGGAAGTGAAAATTGTGATGACTGCTTTGCAGATCAACAGAGGAGAAATAACCAACTTGACGATCAAAGCATCTCACCCAATCAACGTACATTCACCTTGTGAAAATGCTTCAAGCAATCAATCACGGGAAAGTGAATTACGATAATTGATCCAAATAAACAAGTCAATCATTGAAAACATAACTATTCAACATTCGAAACCCAAACGCGAAAAAAACGATTAGTCCATTCAAGACAGGCCGAAACTGTCGACAAACTAAATATAATAAAAATTCCCATGAGAAATTTCTTATTTTTATCGGTTCTCAACTCCCATCGAATTGAATGAAGTGACTTTAAAGAACACCCTAACAGCTTCTGAGATAATTAATTACGTTTCTTTGTTTTATGCAAAACTTATTTTCCAGACGAAGTACAGATAACCGATTGGTTATTTCAACAGTTGCTAGGATGACCTTTAGGTTTATCCAATCGATGGACTAAAATGTTAGTGACTGTTTAGTGATAAACAGTATCAGCTCACAGGACTCCTCTCTCTGAAAATGAGTTACTTTCAGAAATAAGATTTTATAGATACAAATGGATACGGAATATGTTTTGTAACATTTGGTGATAACAATAGTTAATGTAATAACTACTGTTTTGTGCATATATATAGTTCCTTAGTTCAATCCCTAGTCGGTTTGTGGGCTCTTACTCCTGAGGAGTCCCATAATAGGACGAAACAGCTGTTCAGTGCTCCCAGGTTTTCAATAGTTCTTCAAGTGGTGTCAGTCCGTGATGAGTGCTGCCTTAAAAATAAAAACCCTATTGGTCTCAAAAATATTATATATATATATATACTTGATTGTTCGCATCAGGCTCAAAATTATTCCACCTTCAGTCTGGTAGCATTTATGACCCTCACACAGCAAATCTGAATAGGATTTCTGTTGTTTTACCATACTGAAAGTGTCTTTCTGGTCAAAACACCTAGAGGAACTCGACGGTTGATTTTAACCATTTAGTGTCAAGCATATATATGAATTGGTCAAGAGTTTTTTTTGAGTAATTAATTTTTTTTTCTTAGTGAATATTATGGTCAGCTTTAAATCGAAGGAGTGAGATGAAAGGATATTCAAAAGTAGTTTTGACATTCTGTAAGGTATATCGCGAATTCGCATTGAAACAATTAGAAAAAAACGGATTGAGTAAGAAATGTTTCTTTGGAATTAGCTCTTCATCAACAGCTTCTATGAATGCCCACTTACTGATGGTGGTTCAGATAGTAGTAGTTAAGAAATAAGAATTACTCATGAAGCCAAGAATTAAGGAAATAAATGTCTAAACTATTGAATAAATCAATAAAGAGTGTGAAATAAAGCGAAATAGGTTATTCATTGACTGTTTCCTTAATAATTGATATGAGCAGTTTTGTTTGATAAGGAGCTGTGAAAGGGAATATTCACTTATCATTTTGTAATGTATATCTTACGAGTTATTACATAAAGTTAAAAAGATGTTACACTCTAAGTAAAAACCCAGGCAATTAGATGAATCAGTTAGTGCTTTAAGCACATATCATTTACGCTTCATCTAAGGAGAGCCTCCAGATACCGGTAGGTAATAGTATGTGAAAACCTAATACATAGTGTTATATGTTCGCGTTATTATTAATATTATTTATACACAAAATTGGTACAACATTAAAACCAAACAATAAGTCACGAAAATCCATGTGATTCACATATCCGTTTTAGTTTGTTTACTAGACTGTGAGCCGAATTACTGGGTTACCTAGACCGAAGTAATTGGGTCGGGTCGAAAGTCACGTGTTTAAGCTGATGGACTGCAGTTTTGAACACGGAATGCATGCTTACCGATTCTCATAACCAAAGTTTTACTGTAAACTGAGGACGACTCTTACTCTGTGTGATATCCAAATTCATTTATTGCGGCAATCAGTCAGAAACATCTCTAGCAAGTTGTGTACGGCATAAATTCTTTAACTCAGTCAAATTATGCACAAAGATCTGTTGTAAAATAGTTTGAATAGTAGTTAGCTTACGATACCTATTTATTCATTCGGATGGCTCGATATATTGTATCCTGAAGAGTTCGATCTCAATTTGTATTTTTCGACAATAGATTATTTTTTTAATGTGTATCCGTTTTGTTGTAGATAATTCTTGTTTGGCAGTGTAACAGTCCTCCACCAACCCACACTGAACTAAATTCGTATATTTCAGTTTCCATTGAGGTAGTTTTGCCTGATGAACGTTACTTGATGGGATATCCTGCAGCATCTGCATCTCCAAGTGTTCGTTTTCAACCCTTTCGTGAAATTCCTACCTTGGCTGTATTTACATACACACTTGAATTGAACGTTACAGTTGAACAGGTAGTTAATAATGTTATATTCCTCTTAATGTATCATTATGGAATTCAACTTAAGCATTAATGCATATAACAGTAGGTAAGCATAATAGGGGCCTGTATTAAATAAGCACTGTCAGTGAATGAATTGCATCGTTGAAAAATTATTGCCGTATTGTTAAACCACCGGGTCAATACTATCAGGGCTATATGAAGGGATAGATAGGGAGGACACGTTTGCTAATGAAGCAGCTAATCTACACTGACTGAGTTGGCTGACCCATTCCTAACCAATACGTTTCATGATTGCGGTGGAAGTAGGCAGTTAAAATACCATAATTTCAATGACTTTTGCATTCTAGTCTGGTGCTTCTAGGTATCAGAAATCAGATGTTGGAGATTTTATTTAATTGGCTGCAAGTCGCAGTAGTATGGAATGTAGTTAGTTGATATCTGTCACTAAATCTTAACCAGCTACATTTATTTTTAAATAGTTCGGTGGTTTGTAAGGACTTGATAACTTTGAGTGTAGTTTTGGATAGAGATGTGGTAACTGAAAACTGCACAGCTATTTATTTTTTAACTCATCAACAATGCGCACGCATGGCCTAACATAGGACCTAACTTCAAATATATACAATGAATATACACCTCATTTCATCTGTCTTTATATCAACAATGGGATGGCTACCCTAAACTAATACATTTTGTTCAGTATACAAATGGTTGTTAAGTGCCCGAATCTTTGCTTTGCATGTTTTGAACAGCAGGTATTAAAATAAATTTTTAACTATGCGTATGTAGCCTAGATACTAAAGAGATAAAACGAAATTTAAAAGTGAACTTATTGAAAAACTCATTTTTATTTCAACCGGTTCCATTACATCTTGTTATTCAGTTCATATATAGCAGCCCTTTGTTTTTCTAACATGTCATCGGGAAATGGTGCATCTTTGAAGTAACAATTTAACCCATCATTTAAACTAAATTTCTAGTGAGTTCAAAACAGTGGCTATTTCTTAAAAACAGAACGCTTTTTGTATCTCTGACGCTACTTCCAGCATTTCGCTTTGTATTGGTGTTTGACACAGTTGACTTCCATATATTAAGGTACAGGTTTACATCAACGTTCACTTTTTCTTGTTCATCAATTTCAATTATCGAAATAGTCCCATTAGATGATGGAAAATTAACAAAAGACGATTTACTGAAGCAAATTTTCTCGACAAATCATTCTCAAAAGCTGTACAATTTTAATTATAGTTACAAAAAAATATATATCCATCAGTAGCTAATAGGTCAAAACAAAGTTATCGTAAACGGTAAATAAAGTCACAAGGTGATAACAGCTAGGAGGTCAACCCACGGTCATCATAAAACTGCTCATAAAATTACAATAAATAATCAAATAATAAATAGAGAAATAAAACGTCTTACGAAGATTACGACTAGCCATGCTGGGTGCTGTTCGGAGATACGTTTGAATAGAACACGCGTCGTGCGACCCATGCATCTATCTCCATAAGAGCAGGTGAATTGGTTGGCACACATGGAGTTGACCTAAAGCAGTGGTTTATCTTTTACATACCCTCGATTTTTGAGTATTTCTGCCAATGTATCTCCCTTGAATCGAATATTCAGAAATAGTGTCTTCTTTGGAATGAATTACTTCTTGAAATTCATGTTCCTCTCAATGACTTTTGAAGGATTCTCGATGAACACTATTCGAAATACTTGCAGCTCCTCATTTACTGCACCATCTGTGCAAATTCTTGTGCATAGTTAATGAATTATATTTCTTGACTAGTGGGACCCAACTGTGAAAATTACTATATTGTCCACTTCATGTAGATCTATCTCTTGGGAACCATCGTGTATTCTTCTCGAAAGAATGTCTAGGAATTGGAATTCTGAGCTATTTTCAGTTTCCATGATGAATTTAATTCACTTGTAACAATCGTTGGACTCTCATACTATATCTTCTAGGTTACTATCCTACGCGCAGATGATGAAAGTGTCATCCATATCTGTCTTCAGCAGATGGGACTGATCGATCAGTGGACGTTTATTGCTTTGCAGATTAGCCATGAAACAGCTGACAGTGATGAACCCACTGCTACTCCATCCATTTGTCTATAAAGTTTTTTTATTAAATCTGAATTGTATATTAAAGGTTTGTCGTAAGAGCACAGTCCCTTCAGAAAATGTTTAGGAATCCCAATTTTAAGCTTATTGAACTCAAAATAATCACATAAAAAACAAATTGTTTCTGCTTAAGGGACATTTTTGAAAAGTAACCTGACGTCCAATGATAACATACGCTTTCCACGCAGGTTGACATCTCTTTTACGGTTAACAAAGTCGATGGAGTCCGGCTTACTGTAGTTATTGATCTGATTCTTCACTGGTTGAAAGATTTCAGCTAACCATTTGGAGAATTGTTCATGTCAAGTATTGGACGAATAGGAACATCTTTCTTATGAACACTGGGAAGACCGTAGAGACAAGGAATTACTAAACTAGATGGTTTTATTCTTTCAAATAGCTCAATATAATTCATTGATTCGTCTTTCATCTTCAAAATCTTTACCAGCTTATGTTTAGTTGCATATTTATGAAACGCTTCTTTCGACAATTTAATTTCAACTGCTAGTTTATCAGCACAGTCTTTGCGATTTATGTGAACCATGCCGAGACAGACTAATAATATTTCATTGTTCTTCAGAAACTCCTTTATCTGGGCTCTATATCCTTTGGACAATAGTCTCCTAGTATTTGGTTTTGCTTTCATGTAATAAAAGCAGAAGTTCAAAAACGTTGATTAAAATTTCTCAAGACTGGTTGAAATTAGATCGCTTGTCTAGTTTATCAAACTATCAAAGTGAACTTGTGTGTTAATCTCATTTAGAGAAGTCAAAATATCACAGAAATTAGAGCCTACCGAAATTACCTGCAATTGGAATGTCAACACAGTTAAACATACATTCTTCAGGATTTTCTAGAAGTCTGTTTCTTTAGGATTTTTCATGAGCTTTACATTTATATCTTCTGAGCGTCTTTTCACAATTGTATTCGTCTAGTCTTCGAAATTTTCTTAATTATCGTCCGACACTTCATTATTGACATCTCTGAATGAAATATTACGTTCAGCTCCGGGTAGCCTAGATTTTGTCTCATCGATGCAGTTCTGGGTGGGGCGTTTTAAAGAATGACGATTTGGGTGAATGTGATTACGGTGCAGAATTTTCTGGAATTGTCTCGGATATTCGCGTCTTTGTATACAACTTAGGGCTTAAGCTATTTTTGATGACTGCATTGACCCATCAGGTATTAATAGATACATATTTTGCAGTAACTATTATTACAGTTATAAACACCCAGGCTAATAGTTGTCACAAATACCCTGAAATAAGCCGAACTTCTGAAAATGATTCGCCGGGATAATTTACTTCGCTTAATTGTCATTCGTTCCTATTTCTATTGTCTTTTTGTTCTGATGGAAGTAATCAGCATTTGTATTCATCAACAAAGCTGCGACTGTAACATCTAGAAATCGTTGTGCACTTATTCGTCTTACTCTTTTTAGTAAAGACTAAAGAAAGCTGTTTGTTTTCATTGATTTTTTTAGATAAATTTCGCCTACTTAACTTGGCAGGAGTTTCCAAATCGCCTGGTTGGATTTCAAGCTCGTTCTCACTATTGGAATAATACAGATAGTCTGTGGAAATATGATGACAACCACCATCGAAACAATTTTCAATTATTTTACTGAATGGTGCTTTTTACCATCGGTTGGTTCAATTCTTTTGATATTGTTTTCTTAACAGCTTTTAAATAACAAGGAAGATGAAATGAATGATCGAAGTTAGAATTTGGTACACATGTTCGGTCACTGTCTATTTCGATATCAAATATTTCTTTCAGTAGGACAGGGATGATGATTACATCAAGACATTTGAGGAATCCTTCAGGCTAATAACTGTTGTTTTGACCTATTTGTAGGATAGAATTTCAGACAAGGCGCCAATTGTTGATTGAAGAACTTAAAAAGCATGACATGTCTCCGCATAGTTGCATTCATTCCAAATTATTTTGTAGATTTTGGCTACGCTTTTGACATGGTTATTTTACTACCTCTCTCTCCTCATAATTTTCATTCTTTTTAACATGGTTCCTACCGTTCACTTTCTACTCAGTCTATTACTTTGAAGGCTGAACTTTGAGAGACAGGCTACAGTGAATGACTGTCTGACGTATATGCCAGTTATTTTTGTAATTTCCTTGGTAAATCGCTACTAAAAATCTGCGTAGAGGCTTTTAAGCATGTCTAAAAGGTCTTTTTAATGTGCAAACCATAGTACAACTAGGCAAACTGTCTTTAGTACAACAGATATTTTCATTTTATGCTATCCTGTATCATAAGATTTATTTTTTTATCCGCCTTAGTTCTACTTGTGCGTCAGAAGTGGGTGAAACCAAACGAAATTCACCACGTTAAACTTAAAATGCTTCATTCTAGTCAGTGTTAGCATGTAGGGAATACACAAAGGCATGCAAACCTTGATCCATTACAAATTCATTCGTTGTGATACAATACGAAAGGGTCAACAATATTTTCTGTGTTTTAATGGCGTTACGTCAAATATTTTACTATGCTTTAAATTATATTTGTTCCACTTTCATTTCAGTCACTATCATCGCTTGTATCGAACACTTTTGGACCGTAAACTCCATGAGATTGTTGATGTATTTAATGATTGTGAAGATATTCTATTTAACTGCCTTATAAGTCATGTGACTACTCTTCCTCCAGTGAAAGTATTTCAGTCAAGTCAAACAGAGCGAGAACCGTTGTTGAACCATGGTATTTTGAACTCAACTGACCTCAGCGATTATCGTGATCGAAGAGGTCTATGCATACAGGCTTTTTCACAGCATTTTATTAAATTTCCCTATACAGGTGAACAGTTTGAACCTGCTAGTCAACATACCAGTGACAACGACACACCTGAATTATATTTACCGCTTTACATGAATTCCCACAGGTAAGAAATGGAAGTCAATTCATACACAAAACAAAGTATTGATCCCATTTTAGTTACTCAGTGAAACACTACCAGTATTAATTTTGCATCAAAACGAGATATATGAAATTAATATCTAGTGGTGGAAGTTTACAGAAGTTTGAGGCAAAATAATGTCATATTATTTGTCTACATAAGGAGGAAATACAAGCGTACACAGACTTCATGAATTTGATTTGCTTGAATGACTAAATTTTTAGTTTGCGTTCACCCTAAATAGGTACGGCATATTTCAACGTCAGTTGTTTTTGCATGTACACTAAGACGAATGAAATTAACTTCATTCTGGAAACTACAATGTAGGAATTTACCTGCTAAGATATTATACTAACATTCGGAGTGCATCGTAGGTAATTTTTACGATATCGATGATGGGAGTGAACATTGAACTGTTCAAACAACCAGCTTTTATTAAGTTGTAGATAGGTCCGGCTGACGAGTGCCAACAAAATAAATCTAGGCCCAGGGCTTCCTGTCGATTGAATCTACCCAGCTAACGCCAATCAAAGCGAACTGAGTTTTCCAGTTAAGTAACTAAATTACAGTGATCGACACGATTCGGTCAACATTTATGAATGCACAACGCGAAATCGGTTACTCTTCAGTGTATTTAATCCAGTTCTACAGGTCGACCCCAACCTCAACAGCTCAGTGGCAGCAAGCCTGACTGCAACACCGGCTGACGCGGGTCCGAGTCTCTCAGGTGATATCAATACCTTCGAAGTTACAAATGCGCCTCGTCAACAGATGACAAGACGCACGAACTTAGGTTACTCATGGTTTCTTGCCGATGACCATCAGCCATCTAATATTTCCTTTTTTCTGGTAAACGATAGTCGATTAGAACAAGAGTTAAAATTAAAAAGTTATACGAAGTATGCTACTTACTAATCCTATACAAAGGTTCAAACATCGATTCAACTTGAAGTGCTTTGAACATACTAACATAATTCACAATTCGAAAGAAATCGCAACGAAACAGTGTCGCTCATTAATCTCAGAAAGAGAATCTCGTTAGTTGTACGCATATTGAATTTAACAAAAACATGAATGGTAAGTTTTTAACTAGGTACTTACTCGTCATACATTTTATGTTATACTAGTAACTGGATCGTACCTCCTTCTCAGAATAGAACCTATCTGGACACTCGCTCTAATGATCTAGGGTATGTCAGAAGTCGTTTCATAACATGAACTTTCCATTGCTGTAATCATAGTATGTATTCTTCACGAAGAGAGTGAATCCATCGAGTGACATGTGAACATTCAATCTGTATACACATCATTGTTTGCATATGGTCTATCTAATGATGAATTACGACACATTCCTCATGTTTAATAGATTTATCTATTTTTTTTTTACCTCCGAGTTATATTCCGCTGAAAATAAGTACGATGGCTACCTTGTAGGGACATATCGATATTTTTCCCTTTTGAAGACAGACAATCAAGAACACTCTTTAGATTTCATAAAAGCATCTCCCCTACAGTACGTATATTTCATTCATTCAGTTTGTGTGTGAAAACCTAATTTTTAATGAAATAATAACACCAGTTGATTGCCGGAAATCATGAAGACGAACGTGTATGCAGGCACAGGAAATAATGTTGTCACAGATGTGATGAACACACAATACACCAGGATAGTTTGGTCGTCTCAGGAACTTTCTAACTCGGTTTTACGCTAGTTATGCGATGACATTTAGTGTCACAAGAAAGAGTATTGAAAATGTGTAACCAAAGATTTGATACTTCACGAATTCCGACCACTCGAACTCCTTTTTGAGTAAATAACTAATTAGTTACATCGCTTCTTATTTTTCGCATGCCCAAAAGGCTGCTGTTAAATCTGAATGACCTGTAAGATGAATTCGTCACCAATTAATATGTAAACATCGCCTGCCCCCCCCCTTATTTGTATTGCTTGTTTATTAGGTTTAACTAAATGTGATCATTTGTTGTTATAAAGTCCGTAGACGTTTACTATGGATCAGGAATTCTTGTTTATCTCGATCCTGAGAATATAGTATTCAATTTCTTACTGTGAATGTAGTTCTATGGGACTTTGCAGCACTGACTAGCTCACTTGAGAGAAAAGCTTTTTTTATAGGAGTATCCTGATTCTTTTACGCAACCATTCATGAATATACTACAATGAAGTCATGATAAAAGCTTATCTAAAGTAAGTTCTTCGTTTTAAACTACCAGTTACTTTTAAATGTGCCGAATTTTCTGCTTATTTTTAGTATCGATCGTTTCGTACAGTGAACAAGTCAGCGAACTCATATGGCGCGTGATGCCGTGGCTTCGAACACTTTGTAAGTACGCTGATGCTAAGAAAAAATCCCCTTCACTTCAAATGAAAACTTGCCTCAAGTTGCAACGACGTCAGACGTTATGTTGCACACTGCGGAGTAATATATACCGTAATCCTGCTTAAGATAACTTTAGCTGCAAGAATTATATCATTTGAACTATAGATAATATTACTGACTAATGTCGGACATCGACACCGTTGTTGTAATTTGTTAGTTTTTTCACTGCATTATATGTGGCCTAAAATTTCACTTTTTTACTGTAAGAAAGCTGTAGACTAGTAGTGGTAATTTTTTTTGAAATTGTTTAGTAACAGTTAACTGCTAGCGAACTACAACGGAAATGTGCAACTGTTTCTGTAATAAGGACGCTTTATACCGAGTGATTACTGTGAGTTAAATCATCATTTCCATGCTCTTGTCTGGATAATTTCACTAAATAACCCTACATTGATGGCGAAAACAGAGATCGAGGGACTGTTACTTCGACTTGAAAGAAAAATCGATCGGATTGTGTTCTTCAAGATAGCGTAGAATGCGCTCCAGAATAATCCCGTCGTTCTTCTGGCAGTCTACTATGCAGTAATGTATTAACAGTAATTGACAACACTTTGGTCCTGAAAAAAAGTACTGCTGAAGGAATTTGTGAAAGTGACTTGTTATGCAATCGGATGCAGAAATCAGCAAAATCGTAAGATAACTGTACAAAACAAGGTTACCGATAGGAATTATTTATCACCTGATAGCGGTAACTTCGTTTCACTTCATTCTTTACCGAGTGTTCGAAGTAGGTGGTATATTATCACTACCGAATGATAAGTGAAAAAACTGTACACATCACTCAATAGGAAGTCAGAGATACAAGATGAAATGATCATCAACAGTTAAGATGGTCAGGTGTATGTGAAATGAGAAGAAACAAACTACCCAGACGTTTCACTTAGGAAAAGGACCAGGTGCAGAATAAGTACGACTTCTAGAACTATTATACCCAAGTCTGCAAGAAGCTATGATGCAGGGGTCCCGATAGACCTAAAGGCTGCTACACGAAAAAAATTAGTAATAATGGTGTGGACAACTTTTAGTTTAATCACTTTCAGTCAGCAAACCATATTCTTATAACAAGCGCTTTATTGTACGATACAACAAAAATAACCCCAGAAGTGTACGGAGTTCGAAATGGAAATGTAATTTGCTCATAGCAGTAAGTTGACTATACAAGCAAGACAAAAATATAGGATGGAGAGTGGTTATAACAAAAAATGCCTGGATTGTGATGCTCGCTGTACAAATGAGACACATCACTGTTCCATAGTCTCATCAAACGTTTGATCCACATCTAAATGAATGACTTCATTATTATACTGCTCCTCTTTGGCAGCACCCTTGTAATCACCGTGCGTCTTTGTACTATTCACAACTGACTGTACCTTCGCTGGGTTGTCACTGTCAGTGAGCGGTGACTGGTTGGCTGCACTATTTGGGCTGTAATTTTGGTCTTCACTTAAAGTAGTCTTCTTTCCATTTACAATTTCTTTCCCGATAGTGGACCACAAAATTGGTTTTGGAGCAGGAACAGGCATCGGGACTGGTTTTTGTGAAGAACTATCCCCCTCGATCTCTTCAAACTTATCATGGAGCCACTTTTTTGTTGTCACATCTAAACGTGACGACCGTGATCTAGATGGTGAACGTGAAGGACGTTGAGGTCGACGATCACGCCGATAACCTATAACAAAGTACCGAAAAAACACATTGAGTAGGTGGAAAATAAACTTATCAAATACGTAATGTGCTACTGGTTCAATCTAGATTATCGCGTTTTTGGCGAAAATGAAGATTACGACTCATTAACTTCCACACTTGAATGGAGTTTCCAAAGTGTTCACCTTTCAAATTCCGCGTATGAATAACAAGTGCAAGATCATCTATGTCTATTCAGTGAGGCTCCCAAGCGTGTCAACTATTTCATTCACTATTCAGAGATTATACGTTCCTTAATACTTACAATCTCAGATGTCTACGAACATGTAATTCATTAGATTAGCTTCATGTAACAACTACATCTATGTTTGAGCTACATCCATCATATGACGGTTGTAACATAAATAAACTTAGAACCTGGAACAAAAGTACATCGGTTCAAGTTGCCACTCTTAACGGCAGCATGTATAAAGGAGTGTCTGTAGAATATTAAGGCAGGCTAATGTATGTAAGGAAACAATAAGTAGTATAACAGTACAAATGGCGAAAATTTCCGGAAGAAGAAAGTGTATACATCTTCACCGTTGTAACCGAAGTCCAGTCATACAATAAACCAACCGGTACCTCCAGGGTGTAGGTCAAACGTACCTAAGGCTGTGTTCATTAGTACATCTATGAGGAAGTTAAGCAAGAACGGTGACAGTGAGCATTTCTAGTGGACATCACCAGTTGTTGTCACTTTAGATGATACTTCTGCGTAAGTCCTTACACGGGCGCATTAGTTCCAGTAGAGAGCTTTGAGGAGCGTTATGTACTTCACCGGCAGTGCCTTCACAGTCAGACACTCCAAAAACACCTGTCTGTTGCCTGAGTCAAATCTTGCCTTCCGGTCAAGAAATATGGCAAGTATCGGCAGCCAGTAGCTGTATCTGATTTCCAGAGTAAAAATGTGATCGGTTCACCCTCATGCAGGTCTGAAACCTGGCCAGTTTTCTCGAGTTGGCAAGCGTCGCATAACTAATGGATATGTCTGACTTCACAAGAATTTATCTACTCCCCGGAGATCATCTGGTTGACTTGGAGTATGCAGACGACATATTGTCCTGCTAGGTGAAGACGCTGACAAAATACAGGGTCTTCCAGACACGTTGAGCAGAAATCTGAGAATGCTTGGAATGCGTTTCGCACCTGCCAAATGTAAGATGATGCTCCAGGACTGGTTTAATGACAGTGAAGTGGTAGAATGTGTCGAGCACTTCACTTGCTTGGGAAGTTGCATCAATTCGAATAGGCTGGTTGCCTACAAGATCTCAGATTGGATAGAGAAGGTCTGTTTGGCATTTGCCAACTTGCGTCATCTGTAGCGTCATTGGGCGAGATATCTAACTATCTATCAAAGTACGAGTACATTGCGCTACAGTCCGCTCTGTCCTGTTGTATGGCTGTTAAAAATGGAAGACACGAAGGAACTATAGGATTTTGATTTCAGATGTCTTCGTAGCATTGCTTTGATGGAATCACCATGCCAGCGATGTTGAGATTGGGCGAAGGTTACTAGGCAAGTCGGTTGATGACGTTGCGAATCTTAGTTAATTGAGATGACTTGGACATGTGCTGCGCATGCCGAGCCACCACCTTCCTTGACGTGTCATGATGGGAGAAGTTGGATTAGGTTGTAACAGGGTTCAGGGTGGCCAGACCAAGATGTGACACCAGTTGATGAAGTTACTTATTGTTGATTTGAGTCGTGAGGGGGGATGTAGACTGCCTGGTTGGGGTCCTCCAGACAAAAATCGGTGGTCGAGAACTCTTGATATCTCTGAAGGTCGGTTAGAATGGTGTAGGTGTTTTCACTCTATGATGCCTTCTAAAGCTTGAATATTCACACTAACCCTTTTTCAGATTGTTTATTCTCTCACACAACTTTATCTACTTTGATATCACTCCTTTTCTATCCATCCATTCTTTGTATACTACCGTGAAGTGTGGCAACTTGAGCCACTGTACCTGTATGAGGTTCTTCGTTACTTTTGCTAGTCAGTCAGTTATGGCATCACGAGTGTGTTGCACAGATGCTATGCTTAACCTAACGTAAAACAGTAAGTTTATTTTCAAAATCACTGCCAACGATATCCATGCAGGAGTAACCTACAGCACGATACCATACGTTGTAATAGGCAGGCAGTTATTTACAGGCATCGCTAACAAGTACACCTAACGACATTACAAAGTATTGGTTCCTGTTAATGCCCTGCAGTAGATTCGACCATGATTGCAAGCAATTCCCATTGAGTAAAAATTGTTTCCAGTTCTCATGACACAAAAAGATGGTTAGTCAGCACCGATAAACATGGAACCTTGATGACATCTGAGTACAGGTGGCTATAACGTCGGGTGCAACGCTGTAGAGCACAGTTTAACTGGTCCTTGGCATCGCTTTAGTTGTCCAGTATCCAAGCCGGATGGGATGTAGATATCGGTTGTTTAACTCTACTCACAGTTGAGAAGTCTGTTTCCAATCTGTAACGATCCAAAGCAGCAGGATCTGAAGGTCTGCGACGAGATGTTTCTAAGAATGGGGCAAGTAAATTGTTGGGTGGAGTAACGGAGGTACTAGGTTTTGTACAGGAATCAGAGCTAGACCTGTCAAACTGCTTTACTTCACTGATCAGTCAAGTGCATAAGAAAGGAGCGAATTCTTCCTACGTAACCATCGGGGGACCTGTATGTATCCTAGTATCCATAGCTATCAGACAACTTATTGGAGCTCAAAAAAAAGGTACTCGAGAAAACTAGGCAGGTCACGGATCTGGACGAGGGTGCATTGGTCAGATCTTCAGCCCTCGTCCGATTATGGAACACAAGCATACCAACTAGTGGAAAACACTTGCCACATATCCTGGCGTGAATGCGGTATTCGACCGTGAGGTATTGCGGCAGTGTGTGGATGAAGGGAATAACGAGCAAGTAAGTAATGCTTACCATAGCTGTCTACTTGGATCTACGCAGCCATGGATGCTTGCCATGTGAATCGACGACAACTAGTGACGCCTAGCAGAGATGTCCACTATCGCCGTTTCTGTTTAACTACTTTGTAGATGTACTAATGATCATAACCTTAGGTACACCTCACGTCACATGGATTCATCTACTTCCTGGAGGGTATCTGGTTGACCTCGTGTACGCAGACAAGGCTGCCCTGTTAGGTGAAGACGCTGACATTTTGCAGGGTCTTCTGAACGCATTGAGTAGAGATCTGAGGATGTTCAGCACCCATCACATGTATTATGGTGTTTCAGGACGGGTATGCGATTGCTCTGAGTTTAAGGGTAGGTAGTGAAGTGGTAGACTGTGGCCAATTCACTTCATCAGCGCGAATAGGTTGGTTGGTGGGGGAAATCTCAATTGGAGTTTAGAAAATCCATTTGGTAATCGCCAACTTGCATCCCCTCTGGCACTGATTGGTGAGATATGCCAATATCTAATAAAGAATGAGTAGGCTGCGCTTCAGCTCTCTCTATCTTGTTTAGGGGCTGAGATATGGTCTTTGAAAGATGTGGGGACGACAGGTTTTCGACCATAGGTCTCTTCGTAGTATAGTAAGATCACCATGTAAGCAAAGTGAAAGTTGAGCGAAGGGTACTAGGCAAGGAAGGATAGTCGGTCGACGAGATTGTGAACCTTCAGCGGCTGAGATGGGTTGGGTACTTGTTGTGTGTGCCAAGTCACCCCCTACTTCGTAGTGCGATGCTACGGAAAGTTGGATTAGGTTGGAAGAATACTCAGAGTGTTCAGACCAAATCGTGACATGACTTGATGAAATTTCTGATTGTTTTCTGAGGCGCATATGGAGCAGTGGATCGCCTGGAGATGATAAGAATAAATGGTTGGAGATAATTGATGTCACGGATGAAAATCGGTTACAATGGTGCAGGTGAATTCGGTTTTTGACATTTTCAACAGCTTGAACATTTCCATCAACCTTGGTTTTTGAGTTTCTCTCCCCCTCCCCCCAAACAGTTTGGTCTGGTTTTACATCACTATTTCCCTGTTCACATGTTCTCTGCATGGTGCTGTGAAGTGTGGTAACTTGAACCGATGCACTTCCGCGTGAGGTTCTACGTTGATTTTATCTGCCTATCTCATTAGGGAATGTAAGACTTGTTTGTTACTGAAAATGCAATACAAATTTAGCACACTGATAATTGAGTGTCACCTAATTCTCTGTATTTACCTGTTTTCCAACAAAGACTTCACCCGGTGCTTTATAGTAAGACAAACTAATGCAGTTTTGCATACAGTATGTTTATGTTCACAAAGTAACTTCAAATTAGGAATTAGATACAAACTGATGTTGTAGACTTAGTATATGGAAAACAAATAGATCATTGACTTTGAATACCGTAAGGAAATAAAATGAACTGAATACCTACTGGATGAATATAAACGATCAGGTTGAGTATTGTTTCGTCGACGCCTCGGACCATAGCCATCGTCTGCTCGATCGTCATGCTTCATTGTATTGAAAAAAAGACCAATATACTTTAGATTTTCACGAGAAAAAAAACGTCAATTTGCAAATAAGAATTAGATAATTTCTTATTCAACAAAGGTTCAAGAGACAGTTTGGTCAATTTCATGAGTTAGATGGCATGCATCATTATTATACACTACAATAAAGGCTATACCTGAGTATAAATTTCAATCGATTATATTAGTTTATTGCACGGATTATTTACATTTTCGTATTAAAATTATTTGAATAGTATATATATCTTCTGAAAGATGGGTTGGTGTAGATATAATCAGTGCAACGCAACAATAGAAAATGATCATTTCGATAATATACTCCATTGTGAAATCAGCCACAGCTGGAACAGAAGTGGTAATTGGTCAACAGGATAGCGGTTTGAAAACTACTGAAAATTAACTACACTTCTAGGTGAAATAAACTCCACCTCAACATAGAACATATTTTACCATGATTGTAACTCTCAGAATCTGAAATGCCATCATAATGAGTAGAAATTATAGAGGAAGCAGCAGTATTAGGTAGTGTGCTAACAGGGGGATACAGGTTTTGCCTAGTAAAACACTATTCAAGAGGCATTAAAAAGATATAGCCGGTGCAAACTGAGGTCGGTCATTCTAGTTCACAGGAATCCGTTGATTGCCTGACTTACCTGAAAAGCTAAAACAGCCTAAATCGGTAATTGTCAGACTGTGATTATTCACATGCATTTTGGGCATGCTACAAACTTCTTGATTCTTTGGGAGTGAACAAATAATATAGTTATTGCAGTAGTACAGCAAGGTAAAATGTACTTTACCATCAGCAGCACTTTCACACAAGCTTCAACGATTGATGAAACCCCTACGTGAACAATCTTCAAGTGATTTCTATTCTGACTTTACAAAATGTCGCTGGATGAAGTTGCGAAGCCGAACTGATTGATCTTCGGTGCTTATACTGCACATGTCACATGAATGTCATCGATAATGGATAACAAAATCCGAAAGAGATGTGGGTGCATTAAATCATCAGCTGAGGAAGTATTCCATTGTCCAACTCTTAACACGTACATTCGCAAACATCGATGTCTGATATGATAAATTTTCAGAAGATGAGAATTGTTTATTTTGCTTGACTTTACTTCCTATTACTTTCTATTCTTCCTGTTGAATTCATATTTGCGTGTGATATTGCATGCTATCGGTAATTCAAAACTGCTATATGTGGCGTCATAATCGTCGAACCAACTACGTTAGTGATTCTTTTTCAGCACTGTCACTCTAATGCATGAAATTACAAGGTCATTAGTAACCTGTAATTAAATAATTCCAAGTAGATTCAAAACAATAAACAATGAGGACTTACGAGATAATAAGATTGGCCTTTGGGAATTTCTGAAGGATCCAAGGGATAAGCTTTAAACAAAGTAGCAATACTTAACTATGCTCAACATGAATGCTAAATACATTATCAAAAAACCTACATGGCTAGATAAGAGTAAACAATACAATACAATAATCACAAACAAACTTCAACGAATAAATTATGACCTTAATTTAGCAGGAACAACAAGCTAGGAGACGGTGACCTAATAAGAACATAAATTCCAACGCAATTAAAAAGAAAAAAAAGCAAATAACGAATAGCAGGACTTGGGCAATATGATAGTACATGGTTTCGTATCGCACTCGTTTGTTTAAAATCAAAGACATAGTAGCAATACGACACAATATTCAGATAATTAATTTTAAATATCAAACGAGGAGACGACTTTCTTTGACCTACTATACCAGTGGCAGAATAAAACCGCATCATTATCGAAAATTTAATAAGGAATGCGAAAATTGAAACAGTGACTTCATCTGGTTTGTGGGTAAATTAGGAGAGAAAAAGAAAACTGTATGTGAAAAACAATTCTTGACATTTATGGCAATGATTGTTGTGTACCAAATAGTTTGAAATATCCTCCGGTTTTTAGACTCATTTGAATAAAATCCATCCGAGATTTTATTGGTTTATTCATTCAAAAATTACAGGTGTTACTTAGGCCCTATAAGTTAATGTGAGTTTAAACTCAGCCCACGCTGCATGAAACTAATTGATCACGTTCTGAAGTTTAGATATCATTATTTACTAGCTATTCCCTGAACACACAGAATCCAGAATAGATTATAAAAGATTTGTTTCAACATTATTTTCACAAAACAACTTCAACTTAAGTTGTCCTACACAGAAACTCCTAATTTTGTAAGTTGTAAAAACTACATTCTAAAGACAAAGGAAAAATAAAAATGATACTCTTGCAGCAAATACTGAAGTATAATAGCCTAAGTTTTCAGTCATATCGATCTAATGAATTTACTTTACTATCATAAAACACTTAGACTAAGTTGATTTTCATCCATAATAATACACAAGACATTGTATTACTGCATCTGTGTAGTAAATAAGCATATCTTCAACCAAAAATACACACTTATTTGATTAAATGAGAGTGGTGGGTATTTTGGGAAGCGCAGCCATAACTGTTAGAATATATGTGGATTGAGAGTTGGCAGTTGTAGCCTAGGAAGCAATACAGTACCATCGGACCCTGTACACTAAGGGTTGATTGTAACAAGTTTAAAGATGGCTGTCAAATTTCGTCTTTATGTGAGGTTTACAATAGGGACACAATGTTTAGACAGTGTATGTCACGACTATCAAATGAAGATACAAATTGGGCTTAATTACTCTTTTTAAAAACCTGATTAAAAATATAATAATTAAGAAGAATGAGATATGAGAATACTTACTACGCTTTGAATCCAAAAAACGTTCATCAACTCGACTGCCATAAAATCGACCAGGACCTGTAAAATGACTTATGTCGTGATACTCACTTTCTCGTTTGCTTTCCAACTTCTGGGACTTTCTGACCATATGGGAAAAGAAAGAAAAGACGAAATATGTCTGCGTGTATTCAAGAAAAAGGTAGAATGTTGCAAATTGAATGAGTTTGTTGAATAAAACATGCCGTAGGTAATTTTAGACTGTATGTAACTGGTGATCATTCATAAAATAGAATGATGCTTTTTTATTGCAAATCTGTTCGTTTTTCAGAAATAACAAGGCATTTCAGTGATAACTTTCTGACTTTTCCAGTACCGGTATGCAGTAACTAATTCGTTTTGTGACTAAAAGAGAAAATTTGATGAAGAAAATGATGTATGCACAACACATAAACAAGCCTTACATAAAACTACAAAAGCTTGTGCGATTAAAATCCTCAGCTTCGAAATGACACATTAGTGCTGCGTATTATTCAGTTCAAATGTGAATACACCAGCCTATTATGAAGTACTTTATTTATCCAAGTGCTGAATGTTCCCGTTATTTAAACACGTCAGTTAATTGGCGTGTACCAACTGACGAACAAACACGACTCAGAACTTTACAGAGCAATTGATCACTTTAGTCTATTACACTCTTAAACAATGGGACAGAAATCAACAAAACCAAGCACTAAACTAGTGACATTAAATATTCAATTATAAAAGCAAGATAGTCACCGTTATTTCGAATAAGTGACATGAAACTACTAGCTATTCACGGATACCAACCTGAAAGATGTCAGTTCACCATGAAGTTTACAATACAGTTAGCCACTTTATTCTTCGGGAGTTCAACGAAACTTAAGGTTGATCTTTATTGCACCTAATGTTGTGTATCGATAGCGATGGCGATTACAAATGAACTGTGTAAGATTACTTCTTATCATTGTGTATCTACAAGCCCAAAATTTGGTAACGTATATCATACCTTCCATTGTTGGAACCAAATAAGTTTCTCGATAGTGTTAGTGTTACAATACCTAAGATAAACTGCTGACAATGTCGGATTGAAGATAATTGCACCAAAACCTAACAACAAGCTTCAACCCACCAAAAGGCAACAAAAGAGTGAACTGACTTGCAGCAATAGCCATCAGCACAAAAAAGTGATTTAGTATGTCGTCAATACAACGTAACATACCGTGAATTTGAGGATGAGATTGTATCAGCTAAGCGTTTGTAAATATTGGCTTCTTCAGCAACAGTATTATAAAATTTCATCTGCAGAAGAAAATGAACTTGTCAGCAGAAATACATGAGAACCAAAATAGTTATAATTTTACAGCTAATGTGAGGAAAACTTGAGAAATCTTAACAGAAATCAGCATTGAGCTGATAGAGGACTGAAATTTACAAAAAATAACTCGGGGATAAATTAACATGCTTTGCGGAACCTTAGAGAGTTTCTATAGAAAACATTGTTTATAAAGAGTACTGGTATGATTTTGAGCTATCAAGTGAAGACTACCTAAGAAACAGGGACTCCGTTTTCTGAAATAATAGAGAATATTTTGAGCTCAGGAGGATCATTTAGATGGTATTGTGTCCTGAGCTGGATGTTTTATTCATGAAGCTTCCTTTGTCATTTCAGACAATATCATAGGCACAAACTTCAGAAAGAAATGAAATATAGGGTTTTTTCCATGATTTGCTCAGTAGCTTATCCCGATCGCTTGTGTAATTGGTTGCTTCTGCCAGTCTTGTTTTTGTCTCCATATTTATTTCGATTGGTTGTCCTACTGACATGAAGCTTGACCCACTCGTTGTTTCTTATTGGTTGATGGATTGGGTCAATGATAACATGTCTGTTGATCGTAGACTGACCTGAGTACCAAGCTTCTAAAAATTCTCTGGTATTCTCTGCATTTCCTCTATCCCAGATTTCCACATTTCCCCACTCAAATTCATGCCCACAATTGTCTGTATGCTTCGATATGAGCGAAGATTTGTCATGACGCTTCTGTGCTAGTTGATTTTAATGTAGACGGATGCGAAAAGGGCTACCACTTTGTCACATGTAATTATCTTCACAGTTTCTGCAATCTATTTTGTAGATAATGTTTAGTTTATCTTCCTTTATATCTTTTTGATCTACGTAAAAAGAGTGAAGAGATCTTGTAGGTTTGTGAGCCACAGAAATTCTAAAAGGCTCCAATGATCTTGAAGACATTTTTCACGTAGGATAAGATAATGCGTTTGTTGGTTCTCGAGGCCGACTTCTTGGTTGACGAGGAATTATGTAAACATCGTTTGATGAAGTTACGTGGATAGCCTAAGCATAAGCAGATTACAGAGACAACAGTGAGTTTCACCATTCTTTTTTGTCCACACTGTGGAGTCCAGTCGAACAGCGCACAAGCGACAGTCAACTAGGAACCAGTTGGGTAGAATACTCTCCGCCCTAGGACTCAATGCCATACCTACACTTGTTAGCCTGCGAGAACTACTCATCGAATATCCAGAAACTCGAAGTGTGAATTCCGCGGATTCACTGTATTGATCTGGAGGTTAAGTAAACAACTGCACTTGGTTCCTGTCACAAAAACAGCAAAAAACCACGGTACGAGATGCTACCTAACGAAGCTTGTTGGCCGATTTGATAGGGAATGCGAAAATTGAAACCTCCAATATGTATTATAGACACCGGTTCCAAAAGACCGGAGATGTTGTTAAAAGAACTCGGATAGTTGCCAAGAGCTGAAGAGCTGAAACTAATTCAAGATGTGAGAATTTCGATCGTGAGGCTTGAAGGAAGATCAGAACAAAAGGATGTGGAAGGTAAGTAGTGATCTAAAAGGATTTGAATACTGACAGAATTGTGAGGGCGATTGACACTTCCTGGCTTCCAAAATCGTGGAAGGTTATTTCTTCATGAGGTACCTTAAAAAGAAGGGTTAGTGAATGACCGCAGAAGTTTGAGATTGGGCATTTTATTTTCGACTACGACAATGAACTCATATCGCCGGCACCGGTATGCTGTGGAGGTAGAAGTATCATCAACCTGTGACCTAACATTACTGCTTAACGGTCCAAGTTGTTACACTTCCTGTCAGCTCGTCTAGACACCAAGATGTAAGGAATCAGAAAGGAAACTATCAGAAGAAGTAGAAAGAAAACAAGGAAAGAATGAAACAATGGTAACATTTAGCATAACAATTAAGATGCTGATAATGTGTGAACCCGACTGAGTCTCCAGTCAACAATTTCGGTTGTCACACACATCCAAACCTAGTAGTATACAGTACTCAGGCCAACAGTCAGGAACTTCATAAAGTGATGGTATATTTTTCGTCTGGCCACCTCTAACCTTTTGTCCAGCCTAAACCTAAACCTTCAACTAACCTTATGTGAAGGGGTAAACAGTGACTAGACATGGACATCACATGCTCCAACCATCAGAGTCGATCGAGGCTTACGATGTTATCAACTGACTAACCGCTTTTATCTAAGACTCTACACCTGAAATCCGTGTTACTGGGATGGTGGTTTGTTTCATAACGAAGCCTATGCTAGGAAGAAGATTGAGGTTGAACACATGAAACCTTATGCTGGCACGTTTTTCTATTCATGTCACTGAGCCGAAGCCAGCTATTTAACAGCCACCAACTTGACATAAAATGCTATAAAGATTAGGCCAGGAAACAAAACTTCAGTGATCAATAATCTGGGTTGTGCGCAGAGAATTGAGTCGCTACAAATCAGTCTGAAAAGTAATTGACGATAGTGATTTAGATAGATGGCTTCTCGCGAATTTAATGAGAGCAATACACACTTCTCCATATACTAACAAAGTTGCTGGCCAATTCAGTATATTGCATTGGTACTTTCAGTTTTATTGGCAAGGACATGTACTGATTAGCACTAGTAGATAACGAGTTTAGTGTTGCTACATCTAAAGTGAACTAGACCACCTGGTTTCCCTAATCATCTATACGAATAATTCTACAAAAAGTATGAGAACGAGAGTGTAGGGAAAATGCAGTCTTGAGAACAAGGAGTAATTCTGTAATAAAATTCGTCCTGTGACATGCAGAAAACAAAGTTATTACACATCATTTCCAGTAACAAAATACAGAATAACGCTTACTCCGGGACGATCAAAAATAGGTTTGTGACCCTCATTCGTACGACGTGGTATTGTTAATTGACTACTTCGAAAGTCAAATGTTCGAGACTTTCTAACGGCGACAAGTCCACATCTGTTGGAAACAAAGGTTCACAATTATAATTTTATCAACTCCAAGCAAATAATGATGAATATCAGAAAAATGTAAGGCAAAGCGAACGCGTACTTGTATGATTAAAAATAGTTTGTCAATGATACGGTAGGTTACGAGTCTGAGATTTAAGATAGTTAAACTACGTGCAAAATGAAATAATAGGGTATGAAAGTAGGTGTTTCAGTATATGAAGCAATGTTCTGTCTAACGGTCCTATGAATTAATATTGAAAAACTGAGGACTAGTTTACCAGTAAAAAAAGGTTGCAATGAATCCCAACTAATAGACAGCACTCTACTGCATAGAAATACATTAAGTGATTGAGCTTCATACTGAAATTCTATGCTTTTGCATATTCAAGGTGAATTTTCAATTTTTTTATATTGCTCTTACTTCTGTGAGTCCAACCCATGACTCACTGGCTGAAAGTTAACTGCATGAGCCAGCGAACCACAGCTCTAACATTTCCCCACCTCTGCATAGTTCTACGCACTGAGTAACTCATCACCAATTAAATTGTTGAATATTTGTTTTTTATGAATTCAACTCCTGAAAAAACACATATATGTCTCAAGATAAAAGTGGAATTTGGGCACTTTAATAGAGAGTATTCCCGTCATAGTTCTTTGTTTTAAGGCGTCAGACAGCGAAAGTGTTTGTACCAATACCATTATATACTAGTATTATAGTATATGCTACATATAAAAAAGAACCATAGTGAAATTGTCTTGGCAACAATGAAACAACTACACTGGTTGACTCCTTGTCAATACACATCCTAGGTATAATCATCGCAAAGTGCTACAAAGCGCTAGTAGGTATTTCAATAGATTCAAATGATATCGCTTCTTGAAAACCAACCTGCTTAGCATACAAAGGAAAAACGCATGGACGTCTGAACTAAATTGAAGTTCTAGCGGTTAAAACTCTAGGAATCCTCACTATTTTAGCTCTGAATTTGTAAAGACAAACCTGAATTTCTATGGATAATTAATTGCAGCATCAAAGAAAAAATATCAAGGCGTTACAACGGTACAGAAGGACCATACAACTGTTGTATCTTGATCTGCAAACCCTTTTTATATAGATTTGTAATTATAAGGAGACATTGCAACGAATCAATATTGAAAATAGGAAATACAACTCAGTAACTACAAATGTCCTTTTTCTAGGTTGTAAACCAGCTACCCTAGAACCCCTATCGATAAAAGATAACTGTTGGATTATTAGTAACTGACATGGCTCCAGACCCGTAACCGAGAGGTCATGCTGAATGTTGTTAGGCTATTACAATCAGATAATAAAAATTATATCATACACTGAAGTAATTTAAGTGACTCTCTTCACAACTATTAGTTGCAGTTTAAAAACATGCACTTACCGAGAGGAAATGTGCGTTCGATGACTATTGAGATCTCTTTAGCCTGACGCATCAGCGTCGCTGGAGGCAGCTTCGTATTATTTGTAAGTATAAGATGCGGAAGACGATGGTTATCTCCAAAACGACCATACCTGCGTTTATTGTACACAGCCGTTCCTGAATTTGTAAGACGAGTGAAACGTTCTGTCAAAGATATAGAAGAATGTGAACCACGTATAGTGCTTCTTACACCTTCTGTTTGAAAGTCAGTGATAGGATTAACACTCGATTGTATTTCGGGTTTTCTAAGTCTTGAGAACCTAGACTCTAAAGGAATCATTAAGACATCTGGTTTTAAAAAATAAAGGCTTACGTTGTTCTGGAGGACTAACTGAACGACGCGGACTATAGTCGAGATTTTTCGAACGTGACCTCTGTCTATTCCTTGGGAAATAAAAATAAAGTAGATGAGAAGTAAAATACTAAATGTGATCCACCAACTCATAGATAACTATATCAGGTTTGTATACATGGCTACTATTTCAGTGCCGTTGTAACACGATCTTGAAACATAGTTTAATAAAACTGATGATCCCTGCATAACATTGCAGTTTACACCATCGTTTACTTTTAGGTGAAGTGGAGTAGTGGGAACCGAAAACATCTGCACACATAAATAATTCTTTTTATCTTACAGTTTTAGGCTTGCTGATATTTTCTTCGTCTGTCTTTCTCTTTGATTTCTTCCTGCTTTTTTGATGTAGAAACTTGAACAGACATGCAGCTACACCAATTTTTATTTTGTCAATAAACATATATGCGATATGCCTGATGCATGTTTATGTGTACCAAGCTATACTAAGGGTTATGATACTACCAGGTTGTTCGACTCGAAGTAGACAGGGTGGTGTTTGGAGCTAGCGCTTACTGGTTGAAAAAGGAGTGCTCAAAGTCAATAAGCAGCACCTTACCAGAGATAACAAACATGCCGATAAGTTTCGAACCGGAGTAACAATACAGTGAGCACTAACACCATAAGATCTTTTTTATAAACAATGAAATGGCATCTAAAAAGCTAAAAATAAGAACCGAAACTGTCAATGTGACGAAATCGCAGTAGTTTTAATTTTGACCCCATATCTCCATACGATACCAAACTTTTACGGTACCGGTTCGAATGCACAGGCTAACTTTGGCAGATTTGGTTTACAATTCACGTAAAGATGATGAACACCAATATGATCAGGAAAAAGTAAATGGTTTCATTGATCATTTGAGACCCATACAACAACACAAGTAATCAAACTCAGTATTCGACATCCAAAGGCCACTCCAATGTCTACTAAAGCTCCTAAAGCTACCAGTATGAACGCACATAGGAGCTTTACTATATATACATGTATATGCGTGAATATATACTCCCAAGTTACTATCTTTATGTTGAATAAAATCGACAAAAAGTGAAATGGTCATCGAATTCATCACCTACCTTTCCCTTAACAAAGAATGAGATGTATAGCGTTCATTGGATCTAAAATGTAATAACCATATTCTCTTATTATTCAAAAATAGCTGAACAGCACTTTTTTAAAAACATTTATCTCTGAATAAATAAATATTTGCTGTTCTGATAGTAGTGTAGATATCAGATTATAACACCAAAATTCCTATAGTAAACCCCATCACAGCCTATTTGCATAGATAATTCTGCGTTCATAGAATGGTTAAAAGTGATATTCCTGTGTGATATGTTAGGTGTATCAATTACAAAACCTGAGTTTGTATATGTAGATTTCTGTTGTTTATTTCAGTTTGCAAGAGAATTTGAAAAAAGGTTGGAATAAAAACATAAAAAATAACATCATTTGTTTATTTCACTAACCACGACCACAAAAGCGTTAGGTAGTTTTCAAAACACTGAAAGAAACCTAATAAGGTTCGAAAACTTATTTTCAACTGTATTTTCAAATACTAAAGAGCTATAAACGAGAAGTATTTGAGTGACAACAGGTTCCCCTTAATTTTCAAAGTAAGTTTACAGGTTGCACAAACGAACCATTTGAACAATGAGAAAACCTTTATCCCATTATCTCAAACAGTTATGTAAAATAGATAAAAAGTAGAATGTGAGGTGCCTTAAAACAGATAAATTAATGGATGGCACTAATTCATGGCATCTCTGACGCTTGATGTTAACTGACTACATAAATATAGACTTTTAGTTGGAGTCTGTGAAACGACAAAACTGGTACTTGGAGACTATGTGATATGGCTAAGAAATGATAACATTTTTTACGGACGCGTCTATGCCATCCCTTATCCAAAATCTTGAGTACCTTAGTACAGTAAATCTTTGTTCCCGTCATTTTTTTTCTTTTTTGGTAGCTTTTACGACTTATAGTATTATCTTTATATTCCTAGTTCACACCTTGTTGCTTTCCTCCATGTACTGATACAAAGTGTGACGACATGAAACGCTAAACAATTTTACCATGGTGTACTGTAAACCAACCCACTACAGTCTAGTCATAGTTTTCAAGGAGAGAAATCCTCTTGAGATAACGAAATTTGAATCAGTCTGGCAAAGAGTCTGACGTCTAAGGCTTTGTAATCTTTAGTCTAAATGAAGCTAGAGGACAGCAAACTCGATAAGATCAGGCAAGTTCCAGACCGGGTCGTGGATGTCTCGACGAGATATTAACTCTCTGACAGCCGGGTCTATGACAACAGGCAAGCTTACCGGAGCTCAACACTAGTTTTAATTCTTGACCTGAAGGCGACATTCGACTTCGTCGATTGAGGACTTACAGTAGTCTTTTGTCTAACAATGGATAATGAAGTGGTTGAGCACGTTGACCATTCCACTTACTAGGAAAGTCAAATCAACCCTGATAGGTAAGTGACCGATGAAATCTCTACATGGATAGAAAAGGCTCACTTAGCTTTCGTCAATTTATGCTATTAGTGACACAGCCATGATATCCCATTGTCTATCAGTGGTCTAGTGTACTGCAACGTAGTTCGCATTGTTCCACTAAAAGCTGTGAAAAGTGGCCATTGAAAGTATGACATAAAAAGGCTTCATGTGTTCAACCTCAATCTTCTTCCTAGCATAGGCTTCGTTATGAAACAAACCACCATCCCAGTAACACGGATTTCAGGTGTAGAGTCTTAGATAAAAGCGGTTAGTCAGTTGATAACATCGTAAGCCTCGATCGACTCTGATGGTTGGAGCATGTGATGTCCATGTCTAGTCACTGTTTACCCCTTCACATAAGGTTAGTTGAAGGTTTAGGTTTAGGCTGGACAAAAGGTTAGAGGTGGCCAGACGAAAAATATACCATCACTTTATGAAGTTCCTGACTGTTGGCCTGAGTACTGTATACTACTAGGTTTGGATGTGTGTGACAACCGAAATTGTTGACTGGAGACTCAGTCGGGTTCACACATTATCAGCATCTTAATTGTTATGCTAAATGTTACCATTGTTTCATTCTTTCCTTGTTTTCTTTCTACTTCTTCTGATAGTTTCCTTTCTGATTCCTTACATCTTGGTGTCTAGACGAGCTGACAGGAAGTGTAACAACTTGGACCGTTAAGCAGTAGTGCTGAATCTAATGTCTATTCCAACTGGATGACTTAAGCCCTTTAAAATATGAGAAATTTACGAATGAATGAAACGTATGTTACAGGTAAAATGCAGACGTTTGTCGACAACAAATATTATTGTACGTTTTTGAGCATCCAGTAGGTGTCAAGCTAAAGCAGAAGTGTTGAGTTATTAAACATAATTAGTACTTTTCTAGGTCATTTTCAACCTAACACGCTACGTGTCCAGAAGCCATATTGATTTAGGCTACTTACAAAATAGGGAGACTATAGCATGTCGCCACCGGGACTTTTAATTAAAGTTGACATTCAGTCAGTAAAGGTTCTACAGAAAGCCAGAAATATCAGAGAAATATAGACAACAAGTGAAGCTGCAAGATTAATTAGATGGAATTTTATTTTGAAGGTAAAGTACACATACTATTAACATAAACTGTTCTGAATGCAAGGTTGCGTTACTTTATTATTACTCATTGCAATTGCCTAATAATCGATTGCACCCATCCACATGTTTCAGATCTAAGTAACAACAGTGGTTTCATATATCTGAACAAGCGTTCTTAAAACCACAAAAGTAACCACCACAATCTACTAAAATTCATAAAATATCAGTTCAAACTCAATCGAAAATGTGGTATGCATACACATCCTTATCAAAACTAATCGTATTTACCTTATTATCATAATCATAAGTTAATAACCTTATCAACTTCGGTCCATTAGAGACTACACTGGCAGAGTGCATTATTTAATAAAAACAGTCTAGATGTAAACAAATTCCAAGTAACATAACTACACAAAGTGAAAGTTTAAAACAGTAACTGGTGGGAAATCATTACTGACCTGGATCTGTCTTTTCGCCTCGGGGTACAAAACCCAGATGACCTGGAACGGGAGCGGGATGTGTATGAGCGCTTCCTGGTAATCATTGTTCAAGTCTACGCATCTTTCAGGAAAATAAAAATCAATTAACCTGAGATAAAAGTAAGAATGATCACAGATGAAAAAAACTTATAGTTAATTTTACCATAAAAAGTCCAAATTCTTTGGATGAATTGAAATTCGACGCCTATAATACATCTTTTACTTTGATTACTTTGCAGTATGTGTAGCAATAATTTGAGAATGCAGATTGAAAAAGTATCAAAAAAAATCTACACTAGTTCTGAAAAAATATCATAAATGCAACCTCAAACATACTTGATTCAGTTAAAACTAAATAAACTGTCTCAGCAACTATATGCCCATTAATACACTAGCCAATAAGCAAATCCGCGATTAACGACTAGTTTGAGTGACAAGTGATGAGAAGAACGTACTACTTCAAGTTGTAATAGTCAAAACTAATGTTTGGAAACCAAATAGTGTATCTAGAAGTCTAGATAAACAATTATCCTAACCACTGACAGATTATGTACTTTAATATTTAAGAATGATATATAATGAAGACGCCGAGAAACGATAGGTATAAGTGGGTTATTTTGTATTTTTGATGATAGCATTCACAGTGAAAAGCGCTGCAAAGTCAGCACAGGTTGGTTAGATGTAGAAGTTAACCTTGAGATGGTATGCTATGCATAATAAGTTGTCTAATTAATGCTACACAACATATAGTGGTAGCAGTACATTTGCATAGTTGACTTGTCACCGCAAGTGCTAATAAAAGTTTTAAAAATGCACTCAGCAACCTTTTAGACATTTGTGCAGTAGGCAATGATCCATGCCTATTGTGTGAGGGCTAATGATACTACTTGGATGCTTAAACCTCGGTAGGTGGAGTGGGGTTCGAAACCATGACCAACTAGTTGAAAGTCATTTCCTTAAACCAATGAGCTACAGCTCAGTAAGTGCTAATAAGCACTGAAAACATGAAGAATACGAAATTATAATATCAAGTGACAACCAAAAAATGTACTAGAAACATACGTTATAATAGAACAGCATTAACAGAAGTAAAAACACACTGAATACATATATTTGTTTGTAAATGTCAAATCTATCCATTATTCTTGACATCAAATCATAGTGCCACACATACACACACACACACACACAATTGAAAAAAAACTAAAATGAGTTAAAAAAAAAAAGGGATGGTATGCGTTAACAATCCAGCAGCAGTACTCACAAAACCAAACTGAATCAAATGAAAGTAACACAGCTCATGCTTCGTTTACTTGAAAATTCATTACTAGGAAGGAGTTAATCAGATAATTTGTCCCTAAAATGTCATCTTTAATGAGCGCTAAGCAACGGACCGGCAAATTCATCTTTAGGATCATTAAATGAGCATATATCACAACAAGTTCCACGATGGCTCTTGGGAGTAGGATTCGAACCACGACAACTTAATAGTACTGGTGTAAGTGGGACCAAGCTTCTCAGAGAAGAGGATGACGGTCGGTTGTAAGAGAAAGAGAATGGACGACAACGACCTGCAGCGACAGATGCACTACGAACATACACTGAAGATGGATATGACGGATATTTTTGAATATATTCTGAAGTCCATGCATTTTCTGTTTCTCTGTCGGTGTGGTTATTCAAGTTAGCATATGAAGCCACCAACCCAGATGGTTGAAGTGCGCCGATGACTCCCACTGTTGACTTTCGGGAAACGGGTGAAGATCGTTTTACAGCTTTGCACGGCTCGTGGGCTTGGACTTTAAAAACGTGCGAATTAGGTCCAAATAATCCAGATCTTTTTGTGTTTAAAGTACTCATCTGCTTACAACCCAGTAGCTTTTCTTTACGACGAACCTCAGCTCGCATAGCAGAAGGGTAGACCTGGGGAAAGAATGAAATTCAGTGAAAACTGAGGTTTGGGTAAAACCGAGTAAAACGTACAAAACCGGAACAAAGCATTGAACCAACACGAAGTCTATACAATAATTGACTGGTTGACTGAAATCACTACGTATATGTAGGACCCAATGATTTCTTACAATAGCGCATTACATGTTTCCTGAGAAAGTAGTCAGCGTCAATGCCGTAAAATTTTTAATGTCTTGTCAAGAGAAAAGTAAAAGGTCAGTGTTGATCTCTCAAGACAAAAGTTATATGGACAGAAGCAAGGAAAAGTTAGCTATATTTTAGAGGTTTGCTTTATTATCTTATGAATTTATCTCAATAGGTGGCGATTAACACACCTAACGTTCGATTGTCACTGACCTAGAGTTAAAAGGGTAACCGACATTCTAAGCCACTGCAATGTGACCTAAATCTGGTTCAGAAAGCACCAACCTCACAAAAATAACTACTTCAAGGTGCTACTTAGTAAGAGATAAGTTCAATAACTAATCGCATCCACCGGTACTTCCCATTATATTGAGATTATCGAGCCCTACTCCTGATGATACTGTCAAAGAACCCAGGTGAGTGGAAAACTTGGTAGTCGGAAACAATTTTTTTGATGGAGACTAGGTAATATAGGTCACAATCGGTTGCAGAGACGTCGGGGCATCAACACGTTACCGTTATCTAAGTCACATTATAGAATTTCCTTATTTTACTTCCGCCTCTCTTTCTGACTCAACAACTTTTCAATTCATCTTCTTTCCGCTTCGATGTTTGGTCATGCTGCTTCATTCTAAGAAGCTGGGTCATAGCAACTCGAACTAACAGGCAGTAATACAGTCCTATATTGATAGTGACTGACTGAAATGCTACCGGCAAAGCTATTAGCACGCTCTATACTACGAAACTGAAACTAGGAATGTGACGGGCTTAAGATGGAGCACGGACTATCCAACAAGAAGTATACAAGATCTTCCGTATAAGAATTCTAGCAGGTTGATTTACCTTTATCCCATAAATTTGCAGCAGCTTAGCTTATGATTTTCGGTATGGACGAACAAATTATGTTGCCGCAATGAAACAGTAAGGATTCTAATAATAATAACTAAACTCAACTATGTGCACGTCTGTGCATGAGGTTTTGCGTCAAGCCTACTGTGCTACAGACTACCCAAACCTTGACAGGTGGTTGGGGACCGACAGTTGCCAGCTGGACGTTTATGCCAGCGAATAGCAGCCTTACACCAGTAGCATTTTTGTATGTTCAATGTCGCCAGCTGCAAGAAAATGTTTTTAGCAACAAAGCGATTTGGTTGCCTGGTTGAAATTGGCTCCAAATGAAGTATAAGGAATGTGATGAATTGCCTCCCTCTCAGTTGACATTCCTGAACTACAATGAGCATGCAGACTTGTCAAAATACTGTGTATTTAAATTCCACACCTTGGTAATACCAGCAGTCCTATGAAACAAAAGACAAACATAGGTATGACTTGAATGTAAACTACTCTAGGTTTCGCTTACGATTGAAAGTGAGGATTTTATAGGTTTAACTTACGTCTCGGTCTGACTTGACGTTGAACGTTCTTTTAATACCTGAGATAGGAGCAGGCGAACCCCCAAATGCGTAGGGCACAAATGCCTTCGACTGTTCAATAGTTTTTTGAAGACCAGTTCTTTGAGTCTGAGTACCAACGTCCTTCTTTGAATGGTTCAAGGTACCACTAACTGCTTGCTGTACATCACCTAGACAACTAACCAATTCTATATAGATGTCATATCAGCAAACTCTCAGCCAAACCTTCATCAGCCACAGAACCTGTAGAAGAATTGTGCGGACTACTGAGGAGAATAACATAAATGGAAATAACCAACTACTTACACATCTAATGATATATCATTGTTATTTTTCAGCTCTTCGTTGCTACTTTTACCATGGTCTAGCTGTAAAACTTCCGAGTCTCGATGATGGAGATCGTCTAAGTCGCCCCACAAAAACGGTTGATGTGCATATTCAGAGTTGCGTCTTTGAATTCTGAACTTAAGTCGGTCGTAATACTCATTTCTAGCACTATCCAAATAAGCGAAAGCCTTCCCGTACTCCGACAAACAGTTAGCTGACTTCGTAACCATTCGCCACTGGAAATTTCAAACTAGGCGCTCTAACGCACACATTTCATTGTTTTAATATGGAAACATGAACTTCAAACTTCGTGTTGCAGAGATTAAGAACAGTAGCTCCTTGGGTTCAGCGTCTGTCTTAATCGTATAAATTCTTTGACAGGAGTAGTTATTCTCTTTCCAAATTCAGAGAAACTTTAAACAACGGAGATAATCAATTAATCAACTTCCTTTAAGTAGTGTTGCTACCTGTGGTTTTCAAAATGACGTTAAGCTTCTTGATACCACCCCATCTGTACCACAGGATCTAAAGTTGGCATCCAATCTATGTTCAAAAGCACCGGGCGAAAGAGCTGTAGCAACTTCATGGGGTTCCATAACTTACTGACTACGGTTCCAAGTGGGCTGCAGGGGGTCATCGCACGTGCTCCTCCATGCTCTACTTTTAAGGGCCGACGTTCATGCTCTGATCGGAGTTTGATAGCAGTCGGCTAGAAAGGAGAGGGTTGTGGGTTATATGATGCAACGTGATCATACCCTTTCTGGTCCTCATGTATTGTACGGGATGCAGCTATCGAAAGGCTTAGATGATATTTGTGTCATAGCCCGTTCACCCTCTTCTTAGCTATTTCCTGAACAGATTTTAGGACATCCGTATTCCTCAAGATTGATGATGCCGCTGACGAATCTTTCTCTGAGTCCTGAAAAATGTTTAGTCCGTACGCTGTGGTGAAAGTGACCGGAGTTGGACCCCATAGAGTTCGAGAGCGAAACTCCAAAACATGACAAGAGTTATGACACAATTTACCTAGTTAGGCCTGCAGTTAGCAGAATAACTTTTCAACATAATCAACGTCTTGACAGACGAGTATGGGCTACATCTTGTTTTTTAATTTAACATTCTTGCCTCCCAAACACTAGCTTATAATATCATACGTCACAGAAGCAGAATGTGAGCTAACCGAACAAAGTGGGCCAGTTCGTCATGGTGTCAATTATTCATTTAATCCAGGTACACTCCACTCTGGTGACTCAGTAGGAATAGATTACAGAAGTCTGATTTTAAGAATCGGGAACTAAGAATTATTATTTTGTTTTTCGACGACAGGAAACATGTTGTTTGCAGCTGCAGTTGAAAACATGCTAACAGTATAAATAAATAGCAGACCTAGGCGCTTTTATCTTCTACAAAAGCAAGAAATTGATCGGAGTGAGCGGCTAGCTTTTGTTTCAAGCCAATCAACGAAATCAGTAGAAATTACCAGGGCGAAATTTGAGGGACTTTGAAGGCTAGCCCAGCAACAACTGGAACAACCATTTGAATTTTCCTATTTTGTAAAAATCTGACCTTCCGGCTGCAGCGAAGAAACCTAATCAGTTATTTCAGTCGTTCCTAGGATGGCCTTTAAAGTTGCTTTGAAATTTAACATTATTTGTCAATCAACATATTGCTTGGTGAAACGCGCCAACTGGACAAATCATCACTAATCAGCTGTGCATTTCATAGCAATCCATTTGAAGGGTCGTCTTTCCTCTGGGAAGTCAGATGGCTTACTTCGCTGAGGGGTTCATAGTTTCAGCAATGCGGACGCATACTGGGACACTATAAAAACACTTAATGAATTGCAATCCAAAAGTTGGCTCATCGCATACCTAGCAGAAAATTCCTATATTCAAGAAAGTACGGAAATTCAGTATTCACAGTTATTTTCTTTTCATCCTGCTAAAGAGGGAAACCCCAGGTAACTTTCAGTCGACAGATTTCGGCCGTTACACGTTATTTGTCGCCCTCGAGGGTTTTTTATATGGCAGCATTTCTGATCAGGGAAGAAATTACGGATACGTTCACAGTGAGGTATATTGCGGTATTAAGCTGAACATTACACAACCTAATCACAAACTATATCTTAACTCCTTAAACTCAACCATCGAGTTACAAGCCAGCTGGCAGCACTTAGAACTTACACTGGTTCATGACCTAATTTTTAAGCTTTGTCCCTTGAAGTCTCCAGACATGACATCCAAAAATAGTGAGCTAGGCATCCTTCTTGATGTTCACACTTACTCTTGAATTTTTCTACTAGAAGTCATAAAAAACTTAGTGACGATGGGTACCTGTTTGGAAGCTTATACACCTCCGTGTTACAGTTTGCGCGGTTTTTGTCTGCTTCACACAATTTTATTCAAATATCCTTGGAACTGTCCTTTGCAGAAATATTAGATCAGTCCGGAAACTGAATTTCTTTGTACGAATTGAACGTTGAATAGGAACGCAATTCGTTACATCCTTTCAAATCCTGCGACGTGTCTTTTGGTTTTCCCTTTGTCTTATGCTCCGTTGATGCATGCTGCGTGTACATGCCAAAAGGTTTGCTGGTGTTAGGCCACATAGATAAACATCTGGCTGCACGTTCACCTACTCTGAACAGTGAGAGGCATTCGAAAACTGAATTCAGTCACACAATATGGTAGAGAACCAAACCTGCAGCTGTCTCTTTTTATTTTGGATGGAAAGCAAAAGCCGGTTCGCCACTGGTACGTTCAGTGCCACTTCAAGGTCGTTCAAGGCTTAAGAAATTCTTTCGCTTAGCTCTATGAAGTTTGACACCTCACACCAGGGCTGCAATACCCTACGACAAGGATGAAGTATGGTCCCTCACAGTTCAGTCTACAGGGTAACATTTCACATGTTCCGTTATTGTGTACACAAACAGTCAACGCCTTGAAAAGAACACCCCTCGTTGAAAGGCATACGGCAACCTGAAGCATAAAGATGGGTTAAGTAGGTAGCTCAGTCGACTATCGTGCCAGACTGAGTTTAGGCGAAACTTATGCTCTGCTCGGCGCATCCCACGCGAGAAGCACGAACAGGATAGATATAGAAATCAGCGAGGTGGGGAGTTGTATTGGGTTAAAATCGTGCATGCTGAAAGTTAAATCCAAGAGTCAGTGCAAAACCTTACACGTTCACTAAGATCGTTGAAGTTTACTGCAGTACCTTCTGTGACTTTTTTCCGTAAAGTAATTCTTAAAAGGTAAATCCATGTTATCTCCTAGACCACTCAGATGTGGTAGTCACCTGCCATGACGCGGGTATAGCTTGTACGATGTTGCCTGGCCTCGTCGATTGCACCTGATTGATCTGTCTCTACCGGCATGACAATAATACGGGTAACACAAGCAACATCATGTAAACTACACCCTTTGCACAAGAAGTGGCTGTCATATCTCGGTGGCCTAGGGGATGGCCCTCTGGCGGTTGAAGCGACCAGTCCCAGGTTCGGGTCTTGTCGGGAACGACATCATTCACTGAAGGGGCCATATCAAGCTGAGAAGTCCCGAATAGGACGAAACGCTCTTCCTGACCATCGTCTATCACCCTTGTAAGAATTGAAACAGCAGGAAGCATCGAGGCATCCGTGTAGAAACCCGCATGTCAATGGAGACCGACCAGTTCGGTCCAGTCGACGACTGCATTGTGCAAGCAACACTGTACATATCACCATGCATCGCTTACGTCACTTTTGTCTTCACCTTTTCAACAATTTATACTCTGCAACGTCGTTCTGACGGACTGCCTCCGCCTCACCGACCAGTTTCTTGCGTGAGAGGGCTTCGGCTACTTGAATGGCCTCCTAATTTGGACCGTAAATTATTCGAGGAATATTTGAATGTTTCCAATCGAGTGCTTCTTCAACTCGCTTCCAGGACTTTGCCTCCTCGAGGCATCACAGTTAGCGGTCGTAATTATCATCATTATCCTGGTCGCAATACCTGTTTACAGTACCCTATCCATGGTGTGGCATCACGGATCCACTGACAGCTCCCATTCAGCTCTGTTTAAAACTTGTGGATTTATTTCCCCCAGTTTTGTTCGACTGAAGCTGGTGTGTCCGGATTCGAGTTCCGATGGCCGAGTAATGTAACCGACGATGACCGGGAGTACTAAGGTCCAGACTCAGCTGGCGGTGAATTCAAAGATAAGTAACGATTTTGACCAGCATAATATTATTGTGTCTGAGACTGCTTATGAGAAAAAAAGGATAGTGACCACCCAGTAAGCATCTCCAATGTTTGTGATAGTCCAATAATCGGACCATTCGAGTACGAGTTGCCGAATTTCGATGGCAACCAGGCTGATTACCCAGGTTTCGTGAAGGAGATTAAGGTATTTTCTTCTGAGAATAAGCCTGTGTATTTGGTGCAGAGGCCGCCCGAGTAACAAGATTTTGAAGATGTTCCCTCCCCAAGAAGGTTATAAGAAGGTTAGATATGTTTTCCTCCCCGGCTACGTAGGTCCTTTATGATTGCCAGTAGCGCTTTCGAGAAGGCCAAGGGTAAAGCGAATTGTAACAGGGATGACCCTAATGTCCTCCCAGCTTTTTTGAATAATTTGTTGATCCGCATAAGTGAGCTCATTCGCCTAAAATACCTCAGTGAAATGGATTATTCAGTCCCAGAGGTGGGAAGAGTTAGAAGTCGTAACAGAATGCACGCCACTGACAAAGATTCAGGGAAGGCTTGTATTTGCAGTGCAGTGATGCGCATGTGCCTATCAGTTGCCTCGATTTTCCCGAAACGTCTATCGCACAGAGAGTGGGTTTTGTTTGAAGGAAGCCACTATGTCTTAGCACCCCAAAGAAAGGACAGGACGAAGTAAATTTGCCATGTGGGAGGAAGTAATATTGGCATCGCTGATAAGAGAGGGCATCAACTGCTCATAGATGTCCATAACGAGGCGCATTCCGTTTGTCATAAAGAAAGAGACCTCAGAGGATGTACCTCGAGGTGGTACCTGTTTGATTATCTTGGTATTGATCATATGGTACCAAAAGTTCGAGAGGGTGAGTTTGTGATGCCCTACTCTTGGAGACCAGCTCTGGGATGCAGAAACCATGTTTGTGTATCATCTGACCGGAATGGCACTACGTGAATTGGTTACATTGTCAGCTCAGTGCGGATAAGTTTAAAAATCTGGCAGCATATGGATATGGAAGATTAAAATAGAAGTA